TCATGACTTAGTGTATGTTCACTTAATGGAAAGGAAATCAGTTGGTAGATTGTTAAGCAGATTTCAACTGTTGACTCAAACCTGCAGGTGGAATATATTGCAGCCTTAAAGGCGGCAAAATAAGCCTATTGGTTTGATCTCACTGATTTAGAGGTTGTGGAGCATACTAGCCTGCCTATCGAGCTATATTGCGACAATAGTGCAGAAGTAGTCCAAACCAATGACCCAATGTTCCATAGATGAACAAAAAACACTGATAGAAAGTATCATGTTCTACATGATATTGTCCGGCAGGAAAATGTACTTGTGGCTAGAACATTGCATTGGAACATAACTTTGTTGATCCATTAACAAAGGTGTCGTCGATCAATAGTTTTGATCAACACCTAGATAACATTAGAGTTAGATGCAATTTGAATTGGCTATGAGGGCAAGTGGGAGCTGTTGGGATTTATATGCCCTAGCATAGCAAATTCCTATCTGGATTATAGTGACATATGTTCCTGACATATCTGAAATATTTATAATTTATATAATTGGTAAATTCAATGTATTATGTTTCGATTCACTATGAAATTGATAGTGTCCCTGTGATTACGAGAAATATTTATATATATGTATGTGATGGCAATCAATGCATGATATATAAATAGTAATTATAAATTGTTCATAGTCGGTAATTATGGATGGACTCATAATTAATTAAGACTTGAACTGGATCCGCGTTAGGTTGAGATATATTGCGAGAGCCGTCGTATGCAATTACTCCCTATCACCGTCATAGCATTTGAATCTTAAGCATGAGAAAATTATAAACTCTTTTATTAATTAATAATTACTTTGATTTGTTCGGCGGATTCTTCGGAATCCTTAGACCGACACTTTGGGTAGTTATGTAATTAATAGTTAGAGGGTTATATTTTCAATATTTGCATCACTGCTACTTGTATTTATTTTGTATTGATTATGGTTGATCACAAAGTAAATTCGAAGGCCTTCGTATGTTTTTAGACAAAATGATTTATTATATATTTATTTATTTAAATTATTATTTTTTGTCAAACAAATGTTTTATTGTGATCGAGCCAGAAATAATCAATGGTACCAAAATAAATATATTAATTAAGTAGTCGGATTGATGGCTTTATTTATCCGATAACTAATTATGCATAGAAGGGTCAAAGTGCAATATTGACTTAGAGGTTATTTATTATTTAATTGGAGTTCAATTAATTTCTTTTAGTGGAGTAGAAATTAATTTATGAATTAATTGAATTAAGTCCATAGACCGGGCTAATTATTAATTCATTGTAGCCAATAAAATAATAAGCCCAATGGATTCTCACTCATAGCCCAACTTGATATTGGAATCATATTAGATTTGAGACATGTGAATTAGAGATTGAGAAGGATTTGTAGTTTCCTTTTCTTTATCTTTATGTTGCCTATAAATATACATGGTCTATGTATATTTTTGGGGGTGATTTTTGAAAAAAATGAATAAATTTTCTCTCTCTAGAAAATTAGGGTTAGTATTCTCATCTAATGGAGGTTCCCACAAGCCTAGTTTTCCAAGGTCATTCATGGAGACTTATGAGTGATTCCTAAAGGCAAAACAATTACCAAGAATATGGAGATTCAAGGAGAAGGCATCTTGCTAAGGGATCTACAATAAGTGAGAACATTCACTTTAGAGGAAAGATTTAAAGGTTTACTCAGACCTTTGATGTAAGTATTCAATCCATTAATTGAATGATATATCATATTTTTATTTTTGTATAAAACTTGTCTCTATGTGATGAATCAAGATCTATGAATCAAAATCCCTCGAAAAGTTTTTAAATACTAGCACGTTTCCTAACAACAAAACAATCATAGATTCATATTTATTTTCACATGTGGGATAAGACCCCATTAATAAGTGCAAGCATCTACCTTTAAACAAACAATTTGGTTTTTCTTTTTCCTTATTTCTTTCCTTGTCAACAAGAAGGCAACGAAGGGCTAAACAACACAAGCCATGCTTCAAAAGAAGAACATCATATATATTAGTTCACACAAAATCTTATCACCTACAATAAAAAATCCTAATCCGTTTCCTTCCTTGGATTTGATTTGAGCAAGCTACTTGTAGTTGTGATTACTTGTAGTTGTGATTCCTTATAACTTAGGGATTAGGGCAATAGAGTAGCATAAGAAAAAGATAGTTAGATATAGGTTTGATTTGGATCATATTGAATTTAACCCAAATAACTTCTTAAATCTTTTATTATTATTATTATTATTATTATTATTATTATTATTTTACATTAGAAGACACTTGTCATTTTGTTGTTGCGTCACATTGATGGTGAGCATAAACTTCCTACTCACTGATGAGTAGGCAAGTATTGTTCAAAAATATATATATATTAGGGGTGGTAAAATGGATCAGAAATCATCAATCCGCCCATATCTGCCTGCTTTTTAATAGTTATGGGTAAACCATATTTAAGATGGGTCAAAATGAGTTGGGTAATTTTTAACGACTTAATTTGAGGGTTAAGATGGGTTAGAAATAGTTACCAATATTCAACCCATATTTCACCCATCAGATAATAGATACACAATACACATCTATTCGATATTACACTCATCTCATTTCTCTATCTCACGAAGGGCTGCAAGTTGGGCTGGCCCAACCCAGCCTAGCCCATATATTTGGGCAGGTTGTCAGGTTTTTTTTTATTATTATTACTATTTTTTTTTTAACAAATATACAAATTACATTTTCCTTTCCCATGTTTGTAAACATCAAATTTTTTAAGAAAATTTTATTTTTTAAACATCAAAATTTTGGGCGGGTCAATCGAGTTTCACGGGTAAATTTTTTATTTTTTATTTTTTTTCCAAATATGCAAATTACATTTTCTTTTTCCATGTTTGTAAATATCAAAATTTTTAAGAAAAAATTATTTTTAAGCATCAATATTTTGGGTAGGTCGATCGGGTTTCATGGGTCAATTTTTTTAAATTTTTTTTTTATTTATAAATATACAAATTACGTTTTCCTTTACCATGTTTGTAAACATCAAATTTTTTAAGAAAATTTTATTTTTTAAACATCAAAATTTTGGGTGAGTTGATCGGGTTTCACAGGTCAAATTTTATTTTATTTTTTTCAAATATGCAAATTACATTTTCTTTTTCCATGTTTGTAAACATCAAAATTTTTTAGAAATTTTTATTTTTCAAACATCAAAATTTTGGGCGGGTCGGTCGGGTTTCACGAGTAAATTTTTTTTTTTTTTTTTTCAAATATGCAAATTACATTTTCTTTTTCCACATTTGTAAATATCAAATTTTTTAAGAAAATTTTATTTTTAAATATCAATATTTTGGACGAGTCGATCGGGTTTCACGGGTCAATTTTTATTTATTTTTACAACTATAAATTACGTTTTCCGTTTCCAGGTTTGTAAACATCAAATTTTTTAAGAAAATTTTATTTTTTAAACATCAAAATTTTGGGCGGGTCGGTCGGGTTTCACGGATCAATTTTTCTTTTCTTTTTTTTTTTCCTTCAAATATTCAAATTACATTTTATTTTTCCATGTTTGTAAACATCAAAATTCTTAAGAAAATTTTATTTTTTAAACATCAATATTTTGGGTGGATAGGGCGGGTTTCACGGGTCTTTTTTTTTTTTTTTTTTTTTACAAATATGCAAATTACATTTTCCTTTTCCATATTTGTAAACATTAAAATTTTTAATGGTCCACGGGTCATAACGGGTTGACTCTATACATTTTTTACCCTTCCATATTCAACCCGTTCTAAGCGGGTTTAATATGGATCTTGACCCATGTTTAACTCGCCCATTTTTAACCCAGCTCAAATCTAACCCAACTCGCCCATTTGCCATCCCTAATCTTACTTTCATACATGTGTAATCATAAAATAAAATAATATAAATTTACAAAATTTCTAAAATAAATTGGAAGATTTACAATTATCCATATACATATTTATTAATTTTTATCCATCTAAAATTTTTTTAAAAAAAAAAACTATAATAATAAAATTAAACAAAATAATATATATATATTTTTTCCCTAAGACAGGTTGATTGGTCGTGATAGATTGACTCCACCTATTTTGACCCAACTCATTTTTGAGCTGTTCATATTTAATCATGTCTAAATCCGACCCAATTCACCTGCTTGCCTAAATGCATGTGACTAGTGAATTACCAACTGTATAATATTTAAAATCTAAGCATATTATTTGTACGAGTGGTGTGAACCAACTGGTGCCACACAACTGTAACGCACTTGATCCATTGAATTGGAGAAATTATTAGAATTAGCTTGAACGACCGCCAATGATCCACTTAATTGACATAAAAGATATGAAAAATTGACCAAATCATTACACGAATTTGACCATTTAACCTAAAAGTTGGATTATCTTATGTATCTATCATTCTCATCACTCACACGTGTGTTCACTCACACATGTGTGCGATGCTGCATTGTAGACTGTCATACAGCTGTAATCCACTCAACTGCAAAATTTATGGTTCTCGGTTCCAAAAACATGCACTAAAAGAGGGTTTAGAGTTACTATATCAACTTTTTGGTTCAGAACCAACTTTAGACCTAAATGGTAATTTTTCATTAAAAAAAAGAAGGCACGAGAAAATGTCATTTTGGTAATAGTAAAAAGACAAAGTTACAAGAGGAAATCCATTCAAAACGAAGGTCATTTTCGTCATTTCAGAGGCGGTACGGCGGTAGCTTTACAATAATATTTAGTGCCAAGACGATATATTAGACGGCAACACGTGTTATTCTTTTTCCTAGTTACTTTCCCTGTTCTTTCATTTTTCCCGGAAAATTTATCCGTCCGAGAAAATCCTAGTAAAAATATGCAGTAGATATTATATTACAGACCATCATCGTCCCTCATACTTCCCGAGAAGATATTTTCTTGCAGGTTGGTATATTTTGCTGTTTTTTTTATTGGAAATTCATTAAATATCAAAGATAATATCTGCTCAAGCTTTTTTTTCGCTGAATTAAAATTCAGTTACATGTAAATTAGGGATTTTCATGCGCGTTTTTGAACCAGTTGTAGTGGTTCATGTCTCTGACACTTTTGCCCACTGAGACCCAACCTAGGGTTTTGGTTTGTATGAATGCACATTCTAGCTTTTGTACTTGTTCTGTAACCCTAAGTAGTGAAAAACTTGAGTACGTTTTGCAACGATGCTCTGCATGTTGGCGAGTAAGTTGATCATGATTGAGCTTATGCATTTCCACCAAAATATGATTCTGCAACTCTTGACATGCGTTATTTAATTGATGGATCGTCATTTATGAGTTAAATGGCTTGCATAGGGATGGAAAGCTATGTTTGTATGTTATCTGCCAGTTCTTCTTCTGAAGTATTTTGTAAATTAATAAATTTGGTTAGAAATTGCTAGATTGGAGGAGTGCACTATCCACTAATGGAGCATTACAAGGGTTCATATAGGGATAGTGTTTGCTGTTGGGGTCCAAAAATTTCTGTCCTTAGCTCAGTCACTTCCACAAATCTTAAATCTGGTTAAGTTGTACAGTTTGAAAGTAAATTGGTCGTGATATATGGAAATATTTTACCTATTGTTGATTTGTGATTCTGGTACAATCCAAGTCAGCACAATCTTCTTGCAGTAGTAACCGAGACTAGCATCGGTGTGGTGCCGGCCGGGTACCCTCCGACAATCGAGTTTGTACTCGATCATTTGTATATTAAAGAAAGACTTCTGTATGTAATTTTTGTCGTGCCTTTTGAGTTTTCTGACCTGCTTCTTATAGGAGATTTACGGTTGCTCTGAAATCTGAAATTCTTTCCGTTATGTTCCTGTTGCGATTTTGGGAGAGATCTCAGGAGACGTGGTCCATTGTGGATTATAGTTATCGTTTTGGCTTCCTCATCACTTCAGCTTCTTTATCAGTTGTTCCCCGTTTCTGAGCTTGCCTGTCAAGCGTCAGGAACGCCAAGTCACTCCTAGCTTCTCTTCATTTTCAAACTGATTTATTCGATAAACCATCCAGACCATTACAAATAACAAACAACAAAAAATATTAAAGAAATAAGAATTATACAACTGATTTTATTTTCTGAATTTACATTTTTTTTCTTCCAGAAATTAAGATATGATTTCAAATTAGTAGTAGTATCAAGAAATTTGGTGAGATCATCACAATTAAGAAGATCAATGATGAGATGCCAAAAGTGTGGAAACAAAGCCAAGAAGAACTGTGTCTACAGGAGGTGCAGGATTTGTTGTACAAGCCAAGGGTTTCAGTGCCAAACCCACATCAGGAGCACTTGGATCCCTGCCTCAAAGCGCCCAAGAGATCATACTATTCAACAATACCAACAACTAGTCCAACCACTAAACCTTAAAAGATACAGAGAGATCAATCCCTCCTCAGCAGGTACTAATTAATGGTACTATATATACATTGCACCCCTGCACACATCATTTTAGATAGAGTACTTGTACACGCATATATATAGAATTATAAATAGATAGAGACTTAGAGAAACGAGCTCACCTTTTTTGTACTAACATATCAAAAACCATATGAGCTGCGTGTATTAGATTTGATGTCTATAGTAGTAGTACTTAAATGAAGTAACCATCAAGCCCCCAACAACTTTTTGTTTGTGTTAGCTGGTGTTTTTAATAAATACATTCAAAAGAAATGAAACTACCCATCTTTCTATTTAAGTTTACTATTGTTGATTTACTTGCAATAGAAAGTTAGTACCCATCAATCAACAAGTTTCTTATGCTGCTCGTGAGTTGTGTTCCCTGAGCAATGCGCCTGCTCGAGTTACACATCAGTCATCAATTTTTACTTTTATTTTTTTCAAAAGACTTTCAAAACCGTGGTTCATTTTATTTATTTATTTATTTTTATTTTTATCAAAACCGTGGTTCATGGCTCTGACACACACTTTTGTCACTGAGACCCAACTCTAGGGTTTTGGTCCATTTGAAATGGACATTTCTAGCTTTTGTGTTTGTTCTGTAGCCCAAAGTAGTGCAAAACTTGAGTAGGTTTTGCAACGATGCTCTGCAGGTTGGTGAATAAGTTGATCATGATTGAGCTTATGCATTACCGCCAAATATGATTCTGTAACTTTTGGCATGTGTTAATTCAATTGATGGATCATCATTTATATTGTATTGGTAGTGACAATAATTGAGTTAAATTGCTTGCATAGGGATTGAATGCTATGTTATTCACCAGTACTTCTTTTGAAAGTATTTTGGAAATTTTTAAATTTGGTTAGAAGTTGCTAGATCGGAGGAGTGCACTATCCACTAATGGAGCATTGCAAGGGTTCTTATAGGGATAGTGTTTGCTGTTGGGCTCCAAAAAATGGCTGTCCTTAGATCAGTCACGCCCACAAATCTCTAATTTGGTTAAGTTGTACAGGTTGAAAGTAAATTGGTCATGATGTTTGGAAATATTTTACTTATATTAAACATGTATTCATACAATGAACCTTTAGTCGACATTCCTAGATTTAGACCTTTGTGTTGAATGCTCAAAATTTAGAATTGTTCAGAGGATTACTCTCCAAAGGTATATTGAAGCAACACTGGATGGGCCTTGATCTACCAGTTGAATACTCATTTTTGTCCTCAATTGGGTGCTGAGTATCTGTCCTATTTAATTTACTGATTGGTTGCACTTTTAGCTGAAGCGTGGAGTTTTTGTATAGAAGGAAACTACAGTTGACATTAAGAACAGACATGTTGCTTTTAATTATTAACATTTGGCATGAAGAGCTGGTGTGTTTGGATCATGTGTTGGGCAGTATGATTTCTTAACTCCATTGGTGGAACTTATTATAACATTTGACATGTTTAGCTTAGGGGATATTATTCTTCTTTTCACTCTATTCTTGCATTAAGTTCGTGATGGTTATCAATATAAATTTCCAATACCGAAACATTTTGTTTTTACTTTTTTGTTTGTTGATATGATGGAAGAGAATCCTTCTTACTCATATTAATTTGAAAGAGTTTCTACTTCATTTTGGTAATTCACAGCTGAAAGGATGACAAATGATGCTGAATCTATTCATAAAATTAAGGATGATGACAGTGGTCCTTTCCTGAAAAGGCTTAAACAGGATCCAAAACCTGCTGGTTTGAATAAGATGAGAATGACTGCCCGCACTTACAAGGCTTTATTTAAGCCACAACGAAGAAGGGATACTTTTCAAGGTGCCAAAGTCTTTCTTTTGTGAATCCTTCTTCCTCCCTCGAGTGGCTAAAATTTGTTTATCAATTATTTACAGTTTGATTATCATAAGCAGCAAATTTCTTTACATGCCCGTTACGATTTTCAAACTTGATAAATGAAGGGGCCTAGGAAACACCCTGAATTTCCTCTGTTTTGTAACTATGGCTGGAAAAATCTACGTTCTAGTCTTGGTTTTGTTTGCTATTGTTAATTTCTGTTGTATTAAAACTCTGCACAATTGCTGATCCTAATGATTGTCACTTGTATTGTAGATGCTGCTTCTCCACCATCATCTGGGAGCAAAAGGCACAATAATGTTGAAACCTGCGTGGCATGTTCTAAAAGGAAAAGGTACTAATATTAATACATCACTCTTTTAAGCCTCTTTTATTCTGTGTCTAGATCCACCTATTTGAGTCCTCCCACCTTTCACAAATTGTTGATGTGATTCTTCAAGTTCCTTCACATTTTTAAGCGCATGCACTTGTTGGATTGCTATAACCATCTAAGAGTGCAGAAATCAATCATGATCCAAGACATAATTGGACTTCTAAAGTTATCTAAGCTATTTGTTAATTAATCCTGAAAATGTGAAAGTCTTCCTTATTGTACATAACCATCATATTAGGTTTCAATGTGTTTTTTTCAAAAAATAAAAAATATAGTTGTATACATTCTGCTATTTTCCTATTCTACTCTTTTATTTATGCTTAGGGGAAAAAAATCTTTTATTTATGATTATGCTTTAAATTTTGTTGTCTTTTATAATGTCATTTTGGAACTTGGTATGATCCTCTGTTGTATTTTGTTAGCTTATTTATTTTATTTGAAGAGCTTCCACATTTTCTGTTGTTAATATTTCATTTATAAATATATCCTGCCATTATTTATTGTCTTTGATTGTGGTAGAACACATTTGCATGAGAGGAAAGCTACTGTTCGATTTTGAATAGAGGTGTATGTGGGGTCCATGTGTGCATGTGTATGTGTTGGAATCACAGAGAGTTATGTTTGATCGTCATGTCAAAAAATATTTTACTGTAACATAGACAATATCATAATTGTTCTTAAACATTAATACTATATGCATCTGTAATTGTGCGTGTATGAAGCATAGAGAGTTGTATTTGAATTTCATATGATAATACAGTTCCTCTGTATAAACAAAATAATTATTATGAAAATTTTAACATCATAGAATGTTCTGTAGACGAAATGTTTAAGACATTGGTGCTTTTTCACTTTTTAAAGTAAATAATGGTTGACCATGTGTAAAAAAATTGTAATAAAGAACCAGAAAAATATATTAGGAAGGAATTTTTTTTACATGAATCATAGTTATCAACTCGGTTTCATTTTGACTGGCAGTACCCACAACAATTTGTTCCAATTTAGAAACGGAACAGGTTACCCCCTTTTCAACTCGGTTTCTATCTGGAATTTGAAGATTTCTGCTGGCCTGGATTTTTGGTAAAACTAATGAATATGAGAGCATAGTGACATAAAAATGAGAAGTTTTGCATGGAGAATATATGACAATAATTGTCACCTTATCTTATGGGCTTGTATTAATACATTTTTGGGTAGAATGACTTTCTGCTACGTTGTGTGAGAAAATCAGGTGAGCTCAAGTGCAACAAGTTGAATGGAGTCTGAGGTTCTTGGGTTTTTAAAAATGATTTATTATTATTGTTGTTGTTAATCCTAGCAAATAACACAGCAAAAACTTGGGGAGAACTAAGTATTTGACATTTCAAAATAATTTTGTGGTTAACATATGTTACCTGTTAAAAATGTATTGTTCTGATAGATCAGAAATGGAACACTGAATAGCCTGGTATTTGATTCTTTTCTGAAGTTGAATGGACTACTAAGATGGGGTTTTGAAGGTCGAGAAATCTTTCTGTGCCAAGAGGATGCAGCACATAAAGTAAATCAAATTACACAACCCACTGCATACAGTCATGCAAATACACGCGCACATAATTTCAGTCTGGCAGCAGCAGCAGTAGTACGAGAATACAACCGTTTCCAACAACTTTAAAGAGGGTAAAAGTGGTCTCTACAAGGAACGCCCATTGTTGGGATGGTAAGATGTCCGGTTTTGGGAGGATTCCTGGTGCGAGAATGCCCATTTTCTCTTTTGTTCGCAAGGCTGTTCAGGATTGTTGTTGACAGACATGCTTTGGTTGCTGATTGCTATCGTCTTGATAGCGGTAGGTTGTCATGGGATGTGAGGTTTCGGCGTTCCTTTCAGGATTGGGAGTTGGATGACATCACTGGTTTGTTGGCTTTCTTGTATGGACAGGAGGTGGACAGTATTAGTGCGGATTCCTTGACTTGGGTGCCGTCGGCGCAAAGGACTTTTCAGGTCCGGTCCTTCTTTTTCTGCTCTCTGGGTTTCATGGCTCCAATTTCTCGTGGAAGACGGTCTGGTTGTCAAAGCTGCCTCTTAGGGTGGCCTTTTTTTGTGTGGACAGTTGTTTGGGGTAAGATTTTGACCCTCAACAATTTGAGGAAGAGAAGACAAATCATTGTGAACCGGTGTTGTCTTTGCAAGATTGATGGAGAGTCCGTGGATCACCTTCTTTTGCATTGTCCTGTGGCCCATGATTGTTGGAGTCTTATCCTGGGACTCTTTGGTGTCCATTGGGTCATACCTCGGACCTCAAGGGATTTGATGGATATCTGGAGGGGCCAAAGGGTGAGGGCGCATGTTAGGGTTTTTTGGAGGGTGACCCCCCTTTGCAATTGGTGGAGCCTTTGGAAAGAGCGGAATAGAAGATCTTTTGATGGGGTGGAATCTTCCATTGGGGCGTTGAAGTTTCCATTATCTTTTCTCTTTTTTGTTGGGGATGGGGGAGAAATTTTTCATCCATAGATGAATTGGTGGACTTTATGGGTTCTTTGAGACCATAGGTCTTTTCTTTGTTTCTTGTTTCTGGTTTTTGTACAGCTCTTGGGACGTGTTCCCCTTTTGAACGCTTTTTAATATATCTTTACTTATCAAAAAAAACAAAAAGCGATCTCTACAAGGTCATGAAGTTGTCAGCCACCTGTAGCTTAAGAAATCTGCCTCATCGTTTATGTGCTACAGTGAAACGGAACTTGGAATAGCATTGCCTATAATTGGATTTATGGTGGGAAAAGTTACAGAAAGCTTTGGGATTGAGGGGCCTCAAGTGTAGAAGAAAAGTTGGTGTCTGGTGGGGTTGTAAACTAGTGGAATCTACTTGTGGTTTTTTAAAGTAATCAACAGTTTTACTTTCTAATGTTAAAGTAAATTCCAAAATGGTAGGGAAATGATTAGAGTTTGTTGTAGTAGTTTTGATTAGAATTATAAATCCAATCTTGTCGAAGGGGAAGAATCTTCTGGAGATGTCACCTACAATGATCTTTTGTGCCTCACCCACAGGGTTAGGTTTGTTTTACAATCAGTCAGCGGTTCAAAATTTCTCTCTAAGTTCCAAAAACTTAACATTATGGAATTGATTTATTACATAGATCTTATAATTTGCTGGTCATCTCTTAAATCTATTGGAATTAGGACCTCAAAATTACCCTTCTTGTGTTGGTTGGTTGGTTGCTTGGGATATATCTCGTCCTTATGCTGCGAAATTCTCTTTGCAATTAGTGATTTAGGTCCTGCTTTGGTGGAGAGATTTCCCATCCTTCTTTATATGTAGATATTGTTTTACTATTAATATACTCTCAATTTCTTATTTTAAAGAAGACCATTATTGGACAGGTACCAAGTGGACTCATATGAACTTCCAAATTTTCCCTTCTTTGCATGTTTCACATAGCACATTTGCTAATCTAGCTCCTAGCTGCTTTTCATTTGTAAATATAATCTAGGAGCCTTGTTATTTTTCATTTGTAAACTGGAAGATGAGTCAAATATTTCTCTCAACCAATGACCATCAAGTCATAAGGCCAAAGCCACCCACCTTACTACTACATCAGAATCTCCCTCAACCTAGCAAATGATGAAATCCCATAGAGAGTCTCCCAATTTCAGCTTTGGTAGGATAACCGGGCCTAGGTAGTTTTCTTTCTCTCTCTCTCTTTATTTTTAAAATCTGAAATAAATTTTCTTTTATGGTCTTCAAAAATTTTCCTTTCACCAAGCCTTGATTTCTGCTATCTCTAAAGCAGAGTATTCTGCAATTATGAAACTGGTATTGGACACAATTTCCAAGGTGGTTAGGATTGGGATCCTATGTTGGACCGATTAGGGGGTCCATTGGATCAGATTGTAGGGTAGGATCGTGGATCACAAGATCCTACAAAGTTAACTGAAGAAACACTAAAACTATAAGTATCTTAAAAATGATTGAGATCAAGTTTAAAAACCCACACAAACCCACACGCGCACACAAAAAATTGATATATGATAATCAACATGAAATTTACAAGGTAGTTTTTACATGAGAACATCAAGATTTAGATCATTCCATTTTCTCATTTTCCTCGGAATATATGTTTACTAATGCCAAAATTGATATATAATGGAAAATAAAATTTTGTAACACAATCTACTAAATATCAATTACATATGCAAATATTTTCAAGTATTATAAAAAAAAAAAAACAAATTATTGGATTTTTAGAGTATCTTGAACAATCCTATTTCACTATTCTATTATCCTGAATGATCCTATCGCACAATCCTACAGCGATCCTGAATTATCGGTATGCGATCTTACCATATCCTACCTCTCTATGATTTTTCATACAATCCGAATTGATTTGTTTAGTTTGGATCCTAGGATTGTGTGATCATATCTGATATGAATGAGCTCAGTTGCTGTGTAACAAGTATTTTCATCACCACTACTTATTGGTACAAGTGTGGTTACATATTTTAAGTCCATAACCATTTTTTTGGGTACATGGTACCTTTTATATCATATGTGAAATTATTCATTGCATTACAAATTAAATAAAGTGGCACACATGTCATGTTATGCTGTAAAATAATTTTGGGTAAGTTACTCTGACCTCTGTTGAGGTTTGGCTTAATTGCCCACATATTAAACTGTCAAAATTTTTAAGTCAACTACCCTTGAAGTTTTATTGACTAATCTAATACCTCCCTTGCCGTTAACAGACAGTTAGTTTCGTTAAAGAAAATTATAATAATACCTATTTTACTCTTCTTCTTACTTGAAAGATTTAATAGACTTGTTCATTTTCTAAAATTACAATTTAACCCATTATTATATAAAAAATATAAGAAAGAAAAAATTACTCCCAATTAAAATTTAATATACTTATAATTTTTCATTAAACATATAATTAAAAAAAAAAATTTAAAGAAACTTATTCAATCACCACCACTGTCACCAGCTGCCTCTGCCGCCAAGAGCACCACATCGCTCCCCTCACCTCTCTTTTTCTCCACACCACCACCAGCCTGACACACACACACTCTCCACCATCAACACCAACAATGCCATCATGCCACCGATTCCTCTAAGGCATTCCTCATCACTGGATCTTCATTCAAGTCCAACAACCCTTACGATATTCTGATGAACACAGGCACCATTGGAGTGCAACTTGATTGGGGCTGGTTTTTACATGCCATAATGCCACGGATTTGACGAAATTGTGAGAGGGAATGAGGGTTTTAGGGCCAAGTACTCTGATCTTGGTGAGAAAGGAAGTCTAAGAATTATTCTTGACCTTCTTGGCTTGAGAAATTAGGGTTTTGATGGAGGGTTAGGAAGAGGAGGTGGAGAAGGAAATTAGGGATTTACAGCAGTGTAAACGACGATAGTGAAGAGGCCAACCATGATACAGAAAGGCAGAGGAGGAGATGGTGGGTTAATGACGTCATTGGAGAGAGATCCATTAATGTCCAGGAAATAGGGGATGGATTTTTGGGGGTGAGATGGATTTGGGAGGCGACGGGGCGGTGGTGGAGTGATATGGGTTATGTCATTTTTGTGATGGCTGCTTATTTCATCATTCTGGTATTGTATTGATATTTCATAATTGGGGGTATTTTAGTAATACGAAGTAATATAATAAATATTAATCAACTAACGGTTGCAATTTCTGACTGGGGTGTCATAGTTATTTTTGCAAAACTTTAATCCGTAGGTAATTAAACCAAACCACAGGGGAGGTCAAGGTAATTTACCGAATAATTATTGATTTATTTATATATGGAACATGTCTCAATAAGATTTTATATATATGGAACGTTTTTCTTGATAAGATTTTAGAAATGATGTTTAATGATTGAGGGAAGTTGGAATTTGATAGCTTGCTATCTAGAATATGTGTCGCCACAAAATTTGCGGGACATGCTGTGTATAGGGCATTATTTGCTACAGGGTATTGCCTCCCAAGGTGAACAGTATATTATACACAACACACACACACTTTTCATGAGTTATAAATTGCAGTCCTCTGCAAATATGGAACTGCAGTCCTTCCTTGAACTAGAACCCAATGAAGCCTTATCTCATGTTGATGTTCTCAAATTTTTATTTGAGGAACTGGCAAATACACCACAACCTCTTACTCTAAGCATATGTTTCAGTTGTTTCTTTTTTTTTTTTTTTTTTTTTTTCTTTGGTGAATTTAATTGTGTGGCATTGTGAAACATTTATTAATTTTTGTTTTCATATCTTGCAGGTTAGAATGTGATTCACCAAAGCAAGAAGTTTGTTCTTGCAATGCGACATTAAACAAGGACCCACGTGGGACGTCTATTCCTAAGGTTGGTTTGCTTTTCTACCCCGGTTGTTTGTCATCTTTAAGACGTGCTATCAAATGCTGTTTGTTAGCACAATACTGGTTGAACAAGCCATACTCAATCTTCATTCTGAATCTCGTTTAGTTTCTGAGAGAGCTTAAGCAACCCACTACTTGGATCGGCTCGGCTCTTTTAGAGCCATTTGTAAACATACTTTCCTTTGATCAAGGTTCTGAATAGCAGATGAAGCTGATGCAGTCGTCGTGTAATAGACATGGGATGTAACATCCATTATGTCGGGATACTAAAAGCCGTGGGTGTGAAACTTTTTTTTACCTCATACACGATGGCCTCATCAAGTTGATGCAGAATTTTTAACTTTAGAATCTAAGAAATTTAGGTTAATTATTTTTGGTGGATTTTGATCAATGTTTTAAGGTGGTTTAATATGACTAAACAACTCATAAATTGTACATATCAATGTTCTATAATGGAAGTTGGAACTTGAAAGTGAGGAATACCTGTCACCACAAAATGAGCTGCACGCAAAAATAGAAGAATCTTTTGGGTGGAAATGCGATTCTTGTTAGGTGCAAGTGTAATCCTCTTCTATATTTGTAGAAAATATACGGATTTTAAAAATTAAAATTCACAACTTCTAAATATCTTCAACAGAAAGAAAATTGGGTAAATTACTCTGACAACCCCTGAGGTTTACTCTAATTACACATAGATGCTATGTTTGTGAAAACCTACAGAAACATGACTGTAACATCTTACTCCTTTCAAATATTAATTACGTGATTGTATGAGACTATGAGAATCTCACATACACACACTCCTTTGAAGAAATTTGAAAGTAATTTTAAAATCAGTACATTGAAGATGTAGAGCAAGATCTACAAATAAAGTTTATAAATCTAGCATCAAACAACATTTTCATAATAAATGATTGTCAGTTATTTGGATGCTTGATATTTTGGAAGCTTGAGTGCTTTGATTGAAAAATTGGGCTAAAATTTAATGTTTTTTGAGCTTTGATTCAGTGGTGTTAGATTTAGGACGAGTTTGAAGGTAGAGGAAGTCTTTAGAAAGAGAAACAGGCAAAAAAAAAAAAAAAAAAAAAAAAAAAAAAAAAAAAAAAAATTGAGGTAAAAATGGTTGTTTTAAAGGCTGGACTGCTGACTCGGCTGTAACATTACAATAAAGGGTCATTATCAATCTTACTTGGCCAAGTCACACCTACTCTCATCCAAGTATGTTGTGATTATTTATTTATTGTAACTGATATAGAAGCCTGTAACTAGAACGTCATAGGCCTGGTCTATATTCCTAGTTCTACCGAAGGGGGAAAAAAATTTAGATACTCTGATTCCTTGATTGGATTTTTAGGACACTCAACAAAGAGAGGAGGCAGGGTACAGTTGAAGAGAGGACGAAAAGGTTGCATAGAATTACGTAAAAAAAATTAAGGGACACAAGGTACTGGGAGTCTGGGAAAGAAGGTAAGACTGATAAACCAAATCTTGGCATTATTTGGCAGAAAAGGCTGTTCACTAAAATCTGCCCCTCGCGATTGCTAGCCTTTATCAAGCAATTATCCCTATAAAAAAAAACCCAAAAAGGAAACGGGAAAAAAAAAAAAAAAAAGAATTCCACTGACAAATTAATGCCTGATATGATAAGAAAAATGTATTCATTTCTTCACCACGTGATCTCATCTATCAGTGGCTGTAAATTTATATAAAACTCAACCAGTTACAAATGAAAAAAAAAAAATCAATGAAATGGTATATCTCCCAGATTGTAATTAGTTGTCAAATTTATTAATGCATTGCATTTTTTTTTCTCTATAGGAACAAAAACATTATTCGAAAGTAGAAAGCACTTCACTGCACAATTTTGTTGGGTAATTCCTAAAAACGTATTGGGGCCTAATTTGTAGGGTAACATGGTATCGTAGCCTTGGTTTTAGGAGGTCCTAAGTCTCCAATTCTGTGTTTGTTCACCAGTTTTATGTGCAAGTTTGTCTTTTGCCTTGACTTTGCACGTGCGAGACAGGTTTGCACGTTGGGGAGAGTGTTAGTTCTTGATATACATTGTTGGGCTTCTTAACATATTAAGTTTTCAAAGAAAATGGTAATTGACAATTAGAATGGGCATTTCTATAAATTTGCACAATAGAACTAACAAAATGCACAAATATGAGATATCTCTTTGCACTTTCTTTTTCTGTCATTCCCATGGTTTACTGCTGCACTCCTCTCTTCCTCCTTTCTGAGAAGTAACATCAACGCAAATAGTTTAGAAGGGAGTGGAGAGGATAAATATGTCCAAAGAATAATGGAAGAAATCTAAAGGCCTCCAAATATGTGTGTGTGAATTTGTAAAGTTCTCTTCTTCCATTTCAAAACATCGAACACTTAATTTGTCAGAAACTATTGTAAGATATCATGATTTCTCTCTCTCTCTCTCTCTCTCTCTCTCTCTCTCTCGCATTCATCATTTGTCATTTCTTCTCTCACCTTTTTGACTGGTATGCTGTGATTATTTCAGTGTTTGATCTCATCTTCATCCCTCAAAGATAAAATTGTTAGGGAGGAATCGCTTGTGCCACCCACCCCCATATGTGGCAACAAGGAAGAAGAGGAAATGTTCTTGTACCGTACAAAGAATCTCAAGGGATCAGATTCTTCAAAAAGTTCAATAGTGGTAGCTCAAGATGTTACAAAAGAGCTGTTATATTCAAGGGTGTCAGACCAAGACTTGAAACTGGCGGTTGAAAATGGACCAGAGAACCAAGAATTTGCTGATGAACAGGAACACTCACCAAACCATACAGTGACAGATAAAGATCTCCCCAAAAGTATCAAACGTGTTCAGATAAAATGTGAAAAGCTGATGATGAAGCTCCTTCTAAAACAAAAGGAGGAAAGTGAGGAGTTCTCCATAGTTTGGGAGGGAAAGAAGATACAGCTGGAGAAACAGCACAGGATAGATTCAGCTCTTCTTCGCTCTATATACTCTTGTATTCCAGTGAGAACAGATAAGCTCAAAATATTAGATATGGAGTTTGCAAAGAAATTGGAAAATTTTAAATGCGAGAAGGACAAATGCCTTGAAGATCTTCAGGCACATCAATTGGCTGAAAGGAATGAGGAGAGGAAGAAGGCTGGGGCTCGTTGGTTGGCAGCAATTAAGCCATTGGCACAAGTTGACTTAGTTGGTGAGCTGCGTTCCAATTCATTAGGCAGTTCTGGTGACGGTTCTGATAATCTGGTCTCTGTGGATATGCTTTCTGAAGAACAAATCCCTAATGGAGCTCCGTCAAGCATCCCAGATCAGGAGGTTCCTTTAGAAATGCCTGGAACTGCTCTTAGTGAAATGGTGCGCTCTGCTGACTCCATAAAAATGGGAACTTCTGTAGAATCCAATGGAGAGAATGATACAAGACATGAAACAGATCTTATACCAAATGTTAAGGGAAATGAGAATGATGCAATTGGTTGCTCCACTGACAGTGATTCGCATTTTAATGGGTTTTTTTTGGAATCCGATCGAGAGAACGATAGAAGAAATGACTCAAATATTATACCCAGTGCTACCAGATACCCTAATGAGGCAGCTGGTAGCCCCATCAATGGTGATTTACTCTCTGTGGAGCTATCTTCGGTCAAATCAACTTTGGTGCAGCCAGTCATTACTCCAGTTCAAGGTGGCCAGTTGCCACAGGATCTGGTATACAAATTGTTTCTTTTTTAAAAAAATAGTTTTATGTGAAAAACTTGTTTTATCATGATCTTTTCAGTGGCTTTATGTAAATGTTCACAAATACAAGTTATACAACCATATGCTTTCTTCTGGACTCTTTACTGGATTGATTCCTGGTAGTAACCTTTTGTCATGAGAAAGTATGGTTAATGGAATAATGGTAATTCAGCCCAAGGAGCTAGTATTTTCTTAAATGTTGCAAAGAGATGGTTATTCAGATGTTGACCAATACATTTTCCATGAGAAATTCTGTTAGAATTCTAAACTGATCTGATTCAGCTGCCTGAATTTTCTTTCATAATCTTTATCTTGTCAGGCTCTCAGGGATGAAGGTTCTCAATTATCAACATCTACTGGAAAGCGAAATGGGGATGCCCCAGCCAGTGGAAATAATGATATTGTGCAGCATGTTGAAATTCCATTGTTGTGTCAAACTGACAATGGATTAACCATTCAAAATACTAACGAAGAACCACTAAATGAGCCTGTTGCAGAACTGCAGCAATCACCATCTAACCATTTATCTATTGGTTGTGGTCAACCTGATGTACTTCAGGTTCATGGGGTTGAACATCACATTTGTTCTGAAGGACACACCTCTGCCCAAAATGCTGAGGCTCCTTCAGAACTGGTTGAGGACCCAGCAGAGGTTTCAAATCATGCTCTCCGGGAAGAAGGTTTTCAATTATTGACATGTACTGGAAAGCGAGATGGGGATGCCCCAGCTGGTGGAAATAAGGATATTGTGCAGCAAGTGGAGATTCCGTCGTTGTATCAAGCTGATGATGGATTAACCGTTCAAAATACTAACGAAGCACCAATAAATGAGCCTGTTGCAGAACTGCAGCCATCATCATCTAACCATTTATCTATTGGTTGCGGTCAACCTGATTTACTTGAGGTTCATGGGGTTGAACAGCAGACTCGTGCTGAAGGACACACTTCTGTCCCAAATGCCAAGGCTCCTTCACAACTGGTTGAGGACCCAGTGGAAGTTTCAAATCATGCTGTTTTGCGACCTGGGGCAACTCTAGAATTGCATCCCCCGATAAATGCTACAAATTTACCTCTTGGCCTTAATCAACTTGATGTAAGTTTAGCCAGTAGAATCGATGATCAACCAAGCAGTGAAGGGTGTACCCAATCTACTGAGGGCCCACTGCATTTAGTTGAGCATACATCAGAACTTCCAAACCAAGCTTTTCTGCAGCCGTGTGCAAGTTTGGAACTGCATGCTCCAATTGATACTCCTGTTAGTGGATTTGTAAGACATCTGCCAGTACATATTGCATCCCAAGTAGCGTCGGGGGTTCCAAGTCTACCATTGTATGCTGATCCACTTCAAAACGAATTGCAAAGGCTATGTAAAGAGAAGGAACAAGCTATCAAAGTCCATGAAGATATGGTTAGTGTTCATGGTACTTTGCTTGATCAGTTTTTGCAAGTGGTGTCATTTTTTATTTTTCATTTTTCTCAGAGTATTGTTTCTGTTAGCAGAAGCTGCAACTGAGATCCATCTGCGACAAGGAGATAGAGGAAATTAATGCTCAAATTCGTAGGAAGTATGAGGCTAAGCTTCAGGATGCTGAGGCTGCATTTCTGCTAAAAAAGAAGGAACTTGATAGAAATCATGATAAAGTTCTCATGAACAAGATATTTGCTGAGGCTTTCAGATGTACTCTGGAAATGCATCGAGGTACTCATTTCTTGAAGATACATTTTGTATTCCAATATTCATCTTTTGTTGGAATTAAAATTTGAATGTTTGTGCTTGTCAACAAGGGAACTTGAGCACCACTGGGCCATTAGCCTAGTTTGTATAACCTCTCCTCCCTCAAGGGGGAGGTGAGGGGTTCGAGCCACATAGTGGGCATTTTGTGTGTGAGTGTTTACCTAACAAAAAAAAAACAAGGGAACTTGAGCCCGACATTAAGATTGAGAACCTTACATGCCATCTAGCCAATTGTGCCAGTGGTGAAATTAGAAGAATAATTAATTAAACAAGAGCTAATCAGCGTCAGGTTCTGAGTACAGAAGTTATAGTTTATGGCTTTAACTACTTTGTTGTTCAAAGTTTACTCCTTGATAAACAAAAATTGTACTCATCCTTCCAACTTAAGGAGCAGCTTCCAGAATCATGATCCATACAAATTTGTGATTGAAAATTGACATATTGAAGAAAGCAATGTCATAACTAAAAGATGACACTTCCAGAGTACGATGTATGAGGCACAATTCTACTTTGCACAATTGGTGTCTTAAACACACGTGAATGAGACACTCTAATCTCATTGTTTCTGACACCAGATATTCCAAAGGGAAAATTTTAATTATGATGTGCAAGTAACTTTTCCCTAATGTTCTGGGGGATGGACTTGTGATTGTTGAGACTAAATTTTTATCTATCTACCTGTGTCTTACAATAGTTTTGTGTTTGTCGATTAAAATCAACATTATATTACTTGGAAAATCAGAATACAAATGTATTATGCCATTTTAATATCAAACCTGTAAAGAAAATAACTTTGGCACAATTACTGCATATGTTGAAGAAGGCCGTTAACCATTGGTTTAGAACTTTAGATACAAAAGTTGCCAATTGGACAATTGGTAAATATTGTTGGGATTTTGTTCTAGTTGCAGCTTCCATGCGGTTTATGTGCCTCCTTAATTAGAAAATCATGAAGCTGTCCCAATTTTTAATATAATAATGTTTGAACCAGTTCCGATTACCTTCAACTATGCTTGCATGTTATTTATATGCATAAACACATGTATGAAGCTGCAGGTGCTTTCATTTTTTGTGCTTTTAACACCCATGCTGATAATTAGTGTTCCTTGCCAACTAGCACCTAACCTTCAATTTCCTTGCAGTTGTGCCTTCCAGTTTCGTGCAGGAGCTGCATCAGTTATCATCACAACCTGCTGCATCGAGACCTTCTCATGTCACTGGTTCATCTTTGGTTGGCCCACCTGCAACCAGCCAGAATACTACAGTGCCACCTCTACAGGTTGTTCACCATCCCTCGGCACTTTTCTCGAGCACTCCAAGCAGACCCCCAAATATCAGCTCCATTCGTCCTCCCACAGGAAATCACCAAATCGGTCAAATTCGTTCTCCAGCGCCACACCTTCAACCTTTTAGACCGTCAACCCACATTGCATTTGGGATGCCGAGTCAGCATGTACTAAGTGGTCCGCCTGCAACTTCCCTTCCTGCTCACCCACTTCCTCCCCAACCATCTCCACCATCATATCATTCTGCCCCTTATAGGCCTCCTCGACCTGAACCTGAAATTGTAGGCGGGATTGGTAACCATCTATCTGCGCTGGAGTTGCTTATGGAGTTTGATAATCGACCTGCTGCATGTTTGCCTAACTTTTTGCCTCCGCTATAGGATTTGGAGGGCTCAGACTTTGATTTTTTTTTTTTTTTTTTGTATTCAGAATTCGGAGCTTAGGGTAGTGTAGGGGTTATAGCTGGGCCTATACAGGTGAAGCCGCTGACACCGTTGTCTATTGGATGACGACTAACGTGTTGTAAATTTTAACATATTGCATATTATCTAAAACTAATCGGGCAAGAAATGAAATACCGACATTTTCGTAAAGAAATTCTGCAGCCGTACGTTGTCAAATAGTATTATTTTGCCTAATTAATGATGTAAGATTTCTTTTCCCGCCCTTCAATTTTTAATTTTTTGGCCTTATTGTCAGATTTTTATAGTCTTGGAGGTGAATAGGGAGTAGAGGCCCTTTGATATTAACCATCTATATGTGCTCTACTCTCTGGAGCAATGGGTTTGCTGATTATTGTGAAGTGCTTATTGGTAAGAAAATGCTTTTTTGAAGAGAGAAAAAAAATAAATAAATAAAAAATTGATGTTTTAAATAGCTATCTGGTTCCAATTCCAGCGGAATCTGGTTATGTAATTCATCGGTATGGATAGCATTTGCATGTTCTCTAGAGTGGTTTGGTTTACACATTCTTTTTCTGGGGTTTAATCTGGCAATAACAGAACTGCAGAATCCCTGCTGAACTTTTATCAATTATTTTATTTTATTTTGTAATAATATTGAAATATCTTATGTAATAAATTTAAATCTTTTTAGCATATATGATTGTTGCTGGCCTATAAAATGAATATGTAAAAGCTGGATAATCAGACATCTTGTTTTGGCAAAGGACTCTGATTTTTTACTAAGATGTTGAAACATGATGTATATGCCACAAGCATTCTTTGGCCCCAATCCTATATAGTTCTTGCTGTGCAGAAATTTATTGAAGGGAAAAGGAGAAAAATAGTCCAAAACAAACAGCTTGCTATTACAAAAGACCCAAAAAACTCATTTAATCCAAATACACCAGGTCTAATAGTACTATGTCAAGAAATTTGAACAATACATGTTCAGAATGATCTAACAAATTGGAAGAGGGACACCATCCCAATCCTTGAGACACTCGAGCAGTGGATCGATAATCTTCCCCTCACAAATCGCTGAAAATACTTTGTCGAATTCCTCACCTGGCGACCTGACCTTCTCTCCGGTCAAGAACTCGGTCCCCAAGTCTTCCCTCGCAAATTTGTACAGTGGGTATGACCTGCACTCTTTGATCCTGTTTGGAATTGCTGCATTTCCACTCTCATAAGCTCTTCTTGTGTTCTCCACTTCTCTGGGCAAAAGGGCCTTCAGTTCCTCCTCAAAAGCTCCAATCTTTAGGAAAATTGAAGTGTTAGGATTCTTCAAATCGTCGTTGCTGATCAATGCATGATCAACTAAGACATGCCTTAGCTTCTGCATTAATGGATAAGTTGTGCTACAAGGGTCATCAATGTAGGCGAAAACGTGCTCGTGATCAACCACTTTGAGCAGATCCTTTTCTGAGAATCTTGAAGAAACAAGATCCCCATTGATGCCCATTGCTAGGACTTTCATAGCCACCTGCCTCACTGTGTTCTTTACCGTGATCTTCAAGTTCTCCTCCAAGTGCCTCAAGTCGATAGCTTGGCAAAGTGCAACTAAGAAAGTTGATGACATGAGCTTCAAAATATCAACTGCTTCAGCTGTTTTTCTGGAAGATATCAAGCCTAAAGAGTTCACATCTTGGTTGTGCTGCTCAGCACTCTGAACATGGTTTGTGACAGGGTTGGCAAGGAATTGGAGCTCAGAGCAATAAGCTGCCATTGCTATCTCAGCGCCTTTGAATCCATAATCCAAGCTTGGATTCTGTCCACCAGAGAGATTTGAAGGCAGCCCATTGTTGTAGAAATCATTGACAAGCTCGGAGAACTGAGCAAACATGAGCTTCCCAATGGATGCTATTGCTAATCTGGTGTTGTCCATGGACACACCAATTGGGGTACCCTGAAAGTTCCCTCCATGTAAGGCCTTGTTCCTAGACACATCAATCAGAGGGTTGTCATTCACAGAATTGATCTCCCTCTCAATGGACTTTGTGGATGATCGAATCACTTCAATCTGAGGGCCCAACCATTGTGGAGAAGTACGAAGTGCATACCGATCTTGCTTAGGCTTTTGAAGAGGATCCATCTCGTGCAATTTCTGCGCAGCCTTGACATAGGAGCTGCCATCTAAAATATGTTCCATTATAGCTGCAGCTTCAATTTGGCCAGGGTGATGCTTCAACTTGTGTGTCAAATGGTCGGTAAACTCTGGCTTCCCTTGCATAACTTCAGCAAAAACTGCAGACAAAACTTCAGATAGAAGTAGTAATATGTTGGCCTCAAAGAGGACCATAGAGGCCAAACCAGACCCCACAGCCGTGCCATTAACAAGAGCAAGGCCCTCCTTAGGCTGCAACTCGAAGAAACCGCCATCAATGCCTGCAAGGCGGAAGGCTTCACCGGCATCCAGGGACTCTCCTTTAGGCCCCACGCACTTGGAGTTGGGCCTGCCTGTCAAGAGTCCTGCAATGTAGGACAGTGGGACTAGATCTCCAGAGGCGGTGATCGTGCCACGGAGAGGCAGCATTGGAGTGATGTTGTGGTTGAGGAGCTTTGTGATGGCTTCCATGATCTCAAACCTAATGCCGGAATAGCCCTGGAGGAGTGTGTTGATCCTTACTAGCATTGCAGCTCTTGTTGCTGATTGAGCTAGTGTGTGGCATGACTCTGTTCCATTGCCAAATATTCCAGCATTCAGAAACCTGTTGGAACAAAATATACATACATATATATATATATATATATCAATACATGGTATAAAATACTATTGACATAATCCAATCCAATTTCATTTGGGTAATATAACTTCTCCATTCACTGCAGAAAGGAAAAAAAAAAAAAAAAAAAAAAAAAAAAAACATACTGAACTATTTATTAGTATATTCTTTTGGGGACTTAACAGAATTAAAAATGAAACAAAATCAAGAGTTTATGGGTTCAAATTGGGCGGGCTAACCCAAACTTAATCTTAGCACGGGATTTTTATAGACTTTGACAACCATATTTATAATTAGAGTTCAACCTAAATTGAAAAATCCCAACTCGAACTTAATTAGGGTTGATCTTGAATTGAGGTGCCAACAACCCGAACCCAATTTAAACTCGAATTTTAATTTAATTTTTTTATCATAAACATACTATATCTATCTTCAATTATTTGAATTATGAAAAAGTTAAAGTTGTTCATCCTTTAGTCTTTTTATTAATTAAGGAACAACTTTAGTGCTTAATTAGCCCCTAATACTTTATAGAATTGGAATATTCAAATTAAACTTAAAACAAGTGGATTTTTTAAATACAAGTAACTAATTTCACGTCATTGCAGATTAAGCAATTAATTATATATGAGTTGCCCAGATCTCTTCTACTCTAATAGGTGTCATCTATCTAAGGGAATTCAAGAGCATGGGATAAAATTTAATGGTGTTGCACATATGCACAACACACTATAGCACCAAAATAATAATTATAATAATAATAAAATAAAATGTACACTATATATTATCAATCTAACTTGTCATTGTCTCAATTAAGGACCACTGTTTTTATGAGTTCTGGTACTGGGGCCCCACACTACAACAGACCCAAATGCATAAATGGGTGGACATTTTTTAATTATGTTCCTATTCACACCACTCCTCAAATTGATAAAAAGAAGAAGTTTAAAATATGTTTAAAAAAAATAAAAATAACAAAATTAAATGAAACTTTAATATTTCTCATTTATATTTAAAATTCAAAATAAAAAAATTCTTTTTATAAGTTTTAACAAGTAAGTTTGCACCAATTAATTCCTTGTTAAAATTATTTAGTTTTTTTTTTTTTTTTTTTTCGTAATTGATACTCACACATTCGTACTTTCACTCAGACTTAAACTTAAACTCTGATCTCCCTTCAAGAATAAGATACTTAATGTCGTTGAATCACTTACCCGTTAATTATTATATTATAATATTTAATTGTCAAAACAAATTATGTTATGATACTTAATTCGAAAATTGAACTTCTTCTTACATATCACATCACGCAATACAAAAGTTGAATGTGTGGAACTCTCCTACTTCTTATCATGTGTTAACATTTAGATGCAAATAAATACAGTATGAGTTGGGGCTTGCCGCAAGTTGCACCCAACAACCTTTGTTTTTTCCCAAGACGATAAAACTCTTACTGTGTCTGAAACGCTAAAAGCGTATAATTGAAATATCTTCAGTCACTCATAAGGCATTGTCCTTCCATGTCTCTAAATCATTTATCATATCATACCAAACGAATCATGTATGATACGGGAACAAATCTGTTCCGGCTTTTCCGGCATGATCGGAATATTTGGGCTCAATCTGTGTACACGAATAGGGTAAAGTCTCAAATCATATTTGTAATCGTAACTCCTAAAAATTCCAATTCAATAGATATACTCAATTGAGTCCCACCCCAATTAATATTACACATATCTCCTCGTGATTCTAAAACGATTTGGATCCACTTATGCGAGGACCATACTTGGCCATGCATGCCACTTTTTCTCTACATAAATGTAACCACCCAAATCACCTACCACACAACGGTATACTAAAAAAAATTAAAGAAATCATGTTCTTTTTTTATCAAGAATTATTCAGTAGTAATCCTAATTAAGAATTTAGGACATATAATTAAAATTAAAAATAAAATAAAACAAACCTTATAAGCTCCTTCTGAAGAGCACCTCCTTGTTTGGTCCTTCTATGTGAAGTTGCACCGAAACCAGTAGTGACCCCATAACTGTCCGTCCCTTTGTTCATGCTCTCCATCACCCAGTCACTGCTTGCCTTCACTCCGGCCCTCGCCGACTCACAGAGCTCCACCGTGACACCACTGCCCACACCAGCCCCAACCGCAGCCACCTGCGAAATGGTCAGGGTCTCACCCCCTAGCTGGACCACCGGCTTACGAAACTCCTGAACCATTTGCTTCACCTCTTCTAGATGGCTACACTTCAGCGACTCCGCGGCCATAGCCCAATTCAATGGATCTTCAACACAAAATCCATTCATCAACACCTTGTTATTGCCATTGCCGTTTCCATTCTCATGATGTGAAAACTCCATTTTTTTCATATAACAAAGTAGTCCAAGTCTCCAAGAGAGACAAAATAAATAAACAAGCTAGGATAAATGAACAAGTGCACCAAAAATTTGTGACAAAACTAGGGAATATCTATATATGGGTGCATGAAATTCACGAAATATATCTTGGAAGAAACATGAACAAATAAGATTGCATAAAGCTCCAAAAAGGTTGTGTGTTTCTTTATGTGCTGGTGATATAGATACAGAGAGTGTAGATAGACATAGAGATTATGTGTGTGTGCGCGCGCGCAATGAATTTGCTGAGGGTGGTTCACCAGTTTTGGGGGGGGGGGGGGGGGTTTAAATAAAGGATTAAATAAAGGGGTGAGTTACGTACGTTTCAAAGAGTGTGGGATGGGAAGGTGGAGGTGTTAGTTGAATAAGTTTCGTGGCCGTTTGATTCTCCATGTGATGATTGTACGGGTTAGGAACATGGCACGTAGCTCTTTTTTTCATTCTCATCATCACTTTCCTTTTCCCATGTAGGTCATAGGTCCTGTTTGGTACATGCAATTAGAGATGCACATGATATCTCTGTTTTTACCCGTCAAAACTTGAGGGAAGTGGGTTGGTGGGAGTCAATTGGGTTGGGGGATACATCTACATTTTACACACACACACATATATGGAAATGATATTTAATTTACATATGGAGTAATTTACACGTACTTCTCTTATGGTTTGTCATCATTATAAGGATCTCTCTTCTTATTTCGGAAATTACTCGAACCTCTCCTAATTTTAAAAATATCCTACACGAACTTCCATTTTGTTAAAGTTAACGGCAATTAACGACGGAAATTGATGACATCATCTACTATTCTTACTAAAATTCCAATTAATATATATATATATATATATACTCTGCATCCAATTCGACGTGATGGTCCTCCAAAAACAAGTTTTGATCTAGAAAATCCCCGAAAACAAAATCCCAAAGACCCAATATTGACACAATTCCAAGTTATTACTCTTTCCTTCTCTATATATATGCACACACGCTAATATATGCACAAGCCTCATGTATAATCTTCATTTAGTCCTCTTTCTTTCTTAATATATATATTTATTATTTTGGTAAATTTCTCTCTTTATATTTATTTTTTGGGTAAAGTACAGTCACACCCCTGGGGTTTGGCAAAAGGATACTGAGAGGAATCTTACCTCTTTTTTGGATAAAGACATCCCCTGAAGGTTTAAAAATAAACAAAGACACCCCCTTTACATGAAAAATTGATCAAATTACCCTTGGACTGTTTATGAAACTTTTTTAACTTTCCAATTTAATAAATTGGACCAATCTACCCTCACGAATAATTTATGCATAAAAAAAAAACATTATATTGTTCACTTTTTTTTTTTTTGGTTATTTACTTTATAAATGTCCCAACTTCTTAAGAATGTAGACGTCTAAAATGATTTTTTAATTCAATACATATATTTCAAATAAACTATATTTTGTTATTACTTCTTTTCTTTTTCTTTTTTATTTTTAAATTAAGATGCTTAATTCTTTCATCTAAAAAAATTAAACCAATCTTTTTTCCTTAAAATAAAAAATATGGTACCAGTATAACTTTATGCATCTTAAATTATATATCAAATATCATGCATTTCCCAATATAAAAGAAAATAGGTACCGGTATAACTTTATACATGCCTTTGTTTTATTATTATTTTCCCTTTGTTTTATTATTTTTTTTTTTTCCTTTTATGTTGGGAAATGCATAATATTGATATATAATTTAAGATGCATAAAGTTATACTGGTACCATATTTTTTTATTTTTAAGGAAAAGAGATTGGTTTAATTTTTTTAGATGAAAGAATTAAGCATCTTAAATTTAAAAAAAAATTAAAAAAAAAGAAAGAAAAGAAGTAATAACAAAATATAATTTATTTTAAATATATGTATTGGATCAAAAAATCATTTTAGACGTCTACATTTTTAAAAAGTTGGGACATTTATAAAGTAAATAACAAAAAAAAAAAAAAAAAAGTGAACAATATAAAGTTTTTTTTTTTGGTTATTTTTTTTTATTCATAAATTGTTCATGAGGGTAGATTGGTCCAATTTATTAAATTGTAAAGTTAAAAAAGTCTCATAAAAGGTCAAAGGGTAATTTGGTCAATTTTTCATGTAAAGGGGTGTATTCCTTCAGGGGGTGTCTTTATCCAAAAAACAGGTAAGTTTCATTTGAGTATCCTTTTGCCAAACTTCAGGAGGTACGACTGTACTTTACTCTTATTTTTATTTTGGTAAATTTCTATCTGTATATGTGCATATTTAGTCCTTAATCTACAGCAAAAACCCAAACACAGGTAGAGAGAGAAAGATGAGAAAAGAAACCCAAACACATGTAGAGAGAGAAAGATAAGAAGAGAAAGATAGAGGAGAGACTAATTGTAGAGAGAGAAAGAGAAGGAATTAGATCTTGTAGAGAGAGAAGGAAGTTGCAACCTCTGCAAATGTTCTAAATCTGTTGAAATCTTATAGAGAGAGAGAATTTGCAACCTCTACAAATTCACAGATCTTTTCTAGACCATTCGCAGATCTTTAGGCCTCCCCAACCCAAGCAAACATTGGCGTTGCAGAGAGCCCAGAGTTTTAGATGGGTAGTTTAGTAATTTCAGATGCGAAAGAGAGGGTATTTTAGTAAATTTTGACAGATCCGTTAGTGTATTTAATGGTCCGTCACACATAAGGGAGGTCCGTGTAGGATATTTTCAAAATTAAAGGAGGTCCGAATAATTTTCGAAACAGGAAATGAGGTCCCTGTAATTATAACAAATCATAGGAGAGGTTTGTGTAAATTATCCTTTACATATGATATTCCGGCTCAATACATAATCAGAAAACCTCTTAATTTGAGAAATGGAGGCATTGTATATTTTCTCCTCCATCTAGAAGTAGACACAGATTAATCATTAACTCATTAAGGTGGTTGCGTTGGTGGCAGTTTTTAAAATTAAACGGAATTAATTTTACAAAATCATGTTTGCTGCTTTTATTTATTGGTCATTATGGAAGTGCCGAAATGATCTCATGTTTCGCAACAAGCTATGGGATCCGTTCGATGCCGCTCAGCGGGCTCTCAAGAATTTTACTGATTTTCGGAATATCTGCTCTCAACATGCTCTCTTCTCTTTGCCTTTGCCCTCTGCCCTTATCCGTCTTCCCTCTTGGATTGCTCCACCGCTTGGACGTTTTAAGCTTAAGTTTGATGCCTCTTCCAATCCGATCTCTAAGTTTTGTGGGGGAGGTTTACTTCTTCGGAATCATCTGGGCCAACCTATTCAGATAGTTATAGTTTTTTTCCGCAATGTATGCAGCTCCTCTGTAGCGGAAGGTCTGGTGCTCCAAGAGTCCTTTCAGCTAATTAAATGTTGGGGTTACAGTAACGTAGTGTTTGAAGGTGATTGTAAACCTGTAATGTCTCTTTTTCCCACGGAAGAGGCTCTTGTGGTTATTTTTGAAGATGTTTTTATTCTTCTTACGCCTTGCTCGGAGGCTTCCCTTGTGTGGACTCCTCGTTTATGTAATGTGGTTGCTCATTTGTTGAGTAAATGGCTTTGGAAGTCAATTGTGGTGACTTGGAGTGGCGCATATGGCTCAAATGGTTGTTAAATGCTCTTACTCCCGACTGTTCTCCTTTGGGTGTTTAATGTATTTCTCGTTTGTTTGCTAAAAAAAAATACCAATAATCTTAATATCTTCTCCAACATATATAAGACCTTCAATAAGCATACCACATCATGCTTTGTTTGTCTCATTATTTTACTTACTATATATTTCTTTTAATATATTAATTATGCTTTATTTATTGTATTAATTACCAAATAAATATTGTTTTTTTATTGGTTAATAGTTTTGTTTATGGTATTTCTATTGGTCAATAATCCATACAAATTAATTTATGGTATTAATTACCAAATAAATATCACTTATCTCTTGATGAATAGTCAATACAAGTTTATTTATTGTATTAATTACGAAATAAATATCATTTTTCTATTGGCCAACAGTGTATTGGCATCAAAGTCAATACATGTTTCTTTTATCCTAAAAGATTTATTTTTTTACATTTTTTATTTTTATGTATTTATTTAATTTACCTTAATAAGAAATACTCATGTATGGAGGACTTGAACCATCCACCTTTTGTTTTAAAGTAATATGGTTGTACCTTTTGAACTTCTTATAATTTTTAAATTCTCTTACAATATCAATAGTTATTCAACATTACACTCCATATTTCTTTTATACTTAGTTATTCAACATTACACTCCATATTTCTTTTATACTTTGTAATTTATTGGCTTTCTTACCCATGAAATTGTCTTCACGTATAATTAAACTATTATCTCTTTTTTAATTGTAAAATAGTGTTTTATTATTATTATTATTTCCCTGAGCTTATTGCAAATTAAGTAGGGGAAATAAATTTTAAATAAAAATTAGAGAAGTGATAGATCTTTCGACCTCAATTGCCGACTTTGTTTTAAGAGTTCCAACGTAATCCAATCACATTGTATTCGGAAGATAAGTCAACGATTGAAGTCGGAAGACCTATCATTTCTCTAAAAATTATTAGTATTATATTAATGTACTTAGTGTAAGAAGACCTGAGTTAGTATTTCATTTTCCTTTACGCCTCAAACTACTTCAAACCAGCCTTGAGAGAGAGAGAGAGAGTACCCATTCTTTATGCTGCTACAGTAGGGTTTGAGGAGGGAGGACTTGATGTAGATCTACCTGTGATATTTACAAAGCGACGCTTTGAAGTTTGCAGTAAAAGACCCTATTATCACACTCACAAATATATAATGAAAATAAAATAATTCAAAACTCAAATCATAACTTGAGGTAATTTTTTTTTTTTTTCGGAAGGTAGTCGAAAATTCAACAATGTGCAAAAGTTCTCTCTCTGAGATTCAACCAAGTTAAAACCACAATTTGTAATTTTATATGTAATATATACCACTATGGTCTCATTTGGGAATGGTGAGATATTCCTAAACTTAGATTTAAGGAAATTTAAGTGTGTATGAGATATGTATGACCTTAATTATTACGGAGTATTTGATTGAGATAAGTATTGACACTTTTAAGTGACCCTCATAATGTGATCAATATGCATTAATAAAAAATATATATATATGCATTAATAAGAAGATTTATATTTCAGATTAGTAAACTTGCATTAAAATCCTGTAGAAGCATCTCAATAAATTCATTTAGAACACCAAATATCAAGTAAAAAAAAAATAGTAATGCAATTAAGAGAGTTCCATCATAACAAGAGTAATGAGCTATTCACCAGTGAGTAAACAGTATTAACAAATATTGTCCTTTAACTATTAAATTGAAACGATATTTTGTAATTTGTAAAAAATCAAATGAATTATTTAATATATTTTTTAATTCAAGAGTTTAAAAAGGAAAGCTCCATGATGAGAGAGCTCACCTGATAACAATAAAATTTTTAAATTTTTAAAAAATTAAATAAATTACTTAATAAATCTTCAATGTAATGACACAAATCTTGTCACAAAGTAGCTTTCTTGACAGTTTACTTTAAAAAAAAAAATAGATACATTAATCATTTATAGTACATGCACATAAATGTGTGAACACAATTAGTGCAAATTGGTCTACCTATCCGTCATGCTTAAAAGTTAAAATAAATGCTCTTACTAATTGATTTTTTTTAGTTAGTACCAGGAACTCCCCTTAATAGGCCCGAAGCACCTACACCCCTGCCCCAATGATACACCGGGTAAGTCGAGGAAATATTAGACTTGGGAGGACTCGAACACGGGCCGCGACAGCCGCATGCAAACACCTTACCATCACTGCTACGCCCCCGGGCCTCTTACTAATTGGTTATGTTCATGATTATGAGCAAAAACAATGTAAGGGTATTCATGTAATTTTGTGATGCTTCATTTATTGAAATTAATTGAAAAGTAGGAGGGTTAAAAATACAAAAATATCCCTATATACTGTAAATTGATTGTGTGCATAGCAATAGTACGATATTTTTTATTTTTCACGTATGTAGGTATCCTAATCTTATGAAAATAATTGTTGCTTTGTCCGGAAAGATGTTGACAAAACATACTCAAAAACTCAATAGGGGTGATATGAACAGGCCAAGAAAGTAAACCATTTGCATCACTTTGTTATTATGTTATGAATTTTATATATATATATATATAACCCTCGTTGGAAATCAACCGATATTGCTGCTCCACCGCTCAGCATCCACCCTCTACCTGTGATTGGGGTAGGCGACCGATTGACTTAATAATAATTATTAAAATAATAATAATAATAACTGACCACATTCATATAAAATTAAAATAAAAATAATGATATATAGTAAAACGGATTTAGAAAATTATGTGCAGATCCAAAAATTTATGTTTGGGGTGTTTAACAAAAGATATAAATAAAAAAATTAATAAAAAAAATGTTTGGAGCAATAATGGGCTTTTTTTTATAAAATAAATAAATAAATTAGTGGGGACAATTTTAAAATTTTATAGACATATAATTCAAAAAAAAATCTATACTCTATATATATATATATATATATATAGTGGGGGGCAATTGCCCTCGGGCCCCTCACTAGCCCTCAACAAGTCTCGCCAGTCTAAGTGTTCAATAGGCAATATCACAATATGGCATAAATTTTCTGTTTTTACTGTCAAGTGTTCTAGCCTTGGTAGAGGCATAAAATATACAAAAATTCACCACACAAACATTAATATGCTTAACATGATTAAACATCCATTAAAGTGGAGTAAAATTTTATGTGAAAGTAAATGTTGAACATTTAAAAATTACAATTGCTACTTAAATTTTCCATTTTAGCAAACACCACCTGTAAGAGAAACAATTCTTAGTGTGAGAAAGCAACTTGCTAATGTGAGTACAGAAACTTCAAAACCTGAAAACTCGTCTTTTGTCCTTCTTCTAATGGAACCATGGACGTACGTAGTTGGTGGGTCTGCTCTATTGGAATTAGGTTTAGGTCACGAAAGTTAGAACAAAACGTGTTTTCAACACCTAACCCATATATGTTTTTGGTAGTAAAAACGAGCATTCTCTTCCTCCCCACTCTTTATGTGCTAGCTAGGGTAGATGCACAAAACATGTTTTTTTTTTCTACTAGTCGTCTTTGACATCGTCCATTTCTTAAGAATATATATATATATATATATATATATATTAGTGGTACTGTGAGAATATTATCGAATATTTTTCTAATCAAAATTGAGAATCTCCCACGTCAAACAAAAGGAAAAGGGTTCGAGTTGAAGTGTAATTTGTGTGAGCGAGTTGCATGTGTTTCAAGCCAATGTAAAAAAATAAAAATAAAAAAACTTTCTTAGGCTCATGATACCATGTATTTTACTCTGTAGTTGAAGATGAGATAATAATTAGCATAACACGATGACCAAAAAATCGTGATTTTATTTTCATTTTAAAATATTTTCTACAGTAAAATACGGACAATAATGCCCATCTTTCGTGTCAAAAATAGAAAAATATTTATATACATTTGATTGATCGAACTTCATGAGATTATTGGTGGGATATAGTTTTTGACAAAATGTGTTGTAATTGGATGGTGTTCGTTTTTGTTTTTTTGTTTTTTTTTTTTTTTTTTTTTGAGCTTATTTCTAGTCTAAAATAGAGAACATGCACAAGTCTACGAGGGTCTGACTAGTAAGAATGCTAAGTGTCAACAGAAAATAATTATGAAATGCACAAGTCCACGAGGGTCTGACTAGTAAGAATGCTAAGTGTCAACAGAAAATAATTATGAAATCCTACATTTACAGGCCTAGCAAAAAGTTGTTGACAAGTGTAAATGTTTTCAAATTATCTAAAGATGTGTTTTGAATATCTTTAAGTATAAAGAATTAATGTACAAAGCCAATATTATCCAAATAGCAATTATTACTCCATCTTATACAATGTTTCCCTCCCAATGGCTCTTCAAGTTGTAGCAAATGGGTCATGTTATTTTATTTGCCCTCTCCCCAAAAAAATAAATAAATAAATAAAATTATGACAACAAAATGCATAACTGCTTGACCATCATTTAATGGTCTCTATTAAGTGAAGATCGAAAATGTGAGTTCCCTCTGTGTGAGTCATGGACGTGGACGATTATCGACTGCATATTGTAGCTACCCCTTTTCCCAGTGTGCATGAAAAGTGAATATGCAGACGGAAAAGTTGACAATTAACAACATTCTGTCTTGCAAAATTTTGTCGGTTGGTTCTGGTATAAACACACCCCATACCATCACATTCTATCAATTTAACTCTTCAATGGCATAATTTTGTAGTTGGCACAATGTGGTTGCTCGAAAACCATATAAAACTAACAGGCCATATATATAAATATATATATGTGTGTGTGTGTGTGTATGCCACCAACTAGAATCTATTGTCAGTCTGAATTCGATCTTACCGATGCCCAAAAAATAATTAATTTATTATTATTATTTTGATTTATTTTTTTCAAATGAAAGAAAGGGCTTTTTCGAATGCTAATTTTGAACTAATAATTTGGTTTGGGGGCCTCATTTAATTTTTTTTTTTCCCGATAATTAAGGGCCTCATTTAATTCATTAAGCCCTTATCTATTATATTAAATATATGACATGATATGGCATTCAATTCAATATATGAGGGCACCTGCTCACATGAGACCCCGCATTATAGCATTATGGCTTCTTCTTCTTCTTCTTCTTCTTCTTCTTCTTCTTTTTTATTTTTTCTCATGACGAGCTAAGTCTAGAAATTATTAGATGGTTATAATGTATTTAACATTTGATGGACTAATTCAATGACAACCTTTCTTTTATAACACTTCATAATATTAATATATTCTTGTGGAGTCATTTTTTTAATTAAAAAATTTATATTTAACTGTTCCACTTAAGTATTAATAGTTCACAACTATTTAATAATTTCTCGATGAGCTCACTTCATAAGACTAATGAAAAGAATTGTCATTTACAAACAAATTGATTTCAAAACAAGGGACCTTAGAGTGACCACTTGGTTTGATTTACATAAATATGTGCAAAAATTAAAAAATCTATTTAATTTAAGGCCGCTCATACGGTTGAGGTATATAGGTTGTCCACAATTATACATTTCCAACCTAATTTGTTGGATTGCCCATTCAAAACCACATCCTATTTAGTCAATATATCAAATGGTTGACTTTTCTAACCAAAGCACCAAAAATTTCAAATTTTAATTTAGCTAAAAATGTACAAACATAAAGCTAAGTTTTTCTTCCACTTAAAATTAATTCCAATTGGACCAAAAAAATCCTCGGACCTGAAGGCCATATTCTCTGCTTGCATGTTGTATTTTAGTGAATGGATGTCATCGACTTCACACACAATAGTGTGTGTCAATCACAGTCGTTTAATGCGTATACAACACGTGAAAGAAAGGGTATGAAAACGAAATGCTCAACTAGGCGACCATTGAACCCACTTGGATTTATTAATTGGTGACAACGTACCATAGCCAGTAGTCACCATTGATTTTTCTGCAACTAAAATTCATACGCCTCTAGAACCTTTTTGAGTGAATCGTGGATGATTATCGATGGCATACTGTACCTACTAAATGAACTATGACTAAAGACTGCATTTTTCCCGTCTATATATATATATATATATATATAAGGAAAGTGAATAATAAATCCATATACATATGCAAATGGAAAACTTGACAATGACATTCTCTCTTGCAGATTCTTTTTTTTTAATTATTTTTTTCGCTCAGGTTGAATCACATAATTTTGTACAAGAGTGATTGCTCTATGCAACAGCACTTTTTTTCATTTTTTTGTTATTTTTATCTTGACAGACAACTAACGCTCACTTTTGTTCCTATAAGGGTTTGAAGACTGGAGGAGGTGAAAAAGTAATATTAGTTACGATCTTTGGCGGTTTCCATCTAATTATTAGCTAGGTCTTAATAATAATTTTAAGTCTTATTTGGATCTAAAAGCTCTTGCTGGTTCTTTTGATTTTAGTGTAATTGGTTTGATTTTAGTGTAATTGGCATATGTGTAAAGGGATTGGGCTTTTTGAAGCACATCCAAACAAGGCCATTAAGAATTTAAATACACACAAACTTGGTAGGGCATTTTTGTTACTAAAAAAGAATGTTTTTGGATTTTCAAAAACATATGAGATCACTAATGACTATTTTCTACTCGATCTAATTTTTTTTATTTTTTTTGGTCAGATCTATGCAATAGGGGTCAATTTGTTCAAAGGATTAATAATATAGGGATTTATATGCATTTTTTTCATTGTTTCTTGCACATTTTTTGTATAGTTAGGATCTTTTTATTGTTGTTATTTTATATACTTTTAATTTTTATATTTGGGAAAGGTATCACCAACTTATTTGAGTCGGATCATTAGAATTTAACACCTTAAATTGCCCAAAATGTGGTATAGTAGATAGAGAAGGGCGTGATGCATGTTTTTTTTTTTTTTACTACAAATGTAAAGAGACTATTTATATAAAGGTACAAAATGTGAACCATATTTTATCATATATTTAATAATAGATGGTAAATTAAGTAAACAGACTTACCTTTCGTTGTTCAATCAGGACAACATTAAAGAGAAAAATCTTATAAAACTATACGTTTAAGTATGTCACTATATATTTTAATCTTTTAAATTAAATTAATTAATTTTCGACTTCTAAAACCTCCCATATTGTGCAGAATTTTGTTTTACATAAAATGATTTTTTTAATAATTTGTAATTTTGGTTTTTTTCAACCCAAAACACAGAAACATTGAAACACTATTACATTATTCAACTTATAAATGCAAAAGACCCTCAAGGCTCCAACTAATGGTCGTAATTATGTCTAATGGACAAACAAGATTGGCTCTCGAAAAGTGTCCTCTAATATATTTTAATAACTATACTAATACTATAATATTCTCTAATATTTCTTACAATTCTATAAATATCTTAAAGACTCCACAACACTCTTTGCACATCCTTTCTATTCTTGAAATGATCAGCATACAAAAGAGATCGAGTGCTTCGAATGTAATCTCCATTAATATCTTTAGACTTCATTTGATTAGGCAGAAAAAAAAATAATAATAATAATAAGATAGGAAGTTATAAAAAGTAAGGTTGAAGAAAGAAAAATGTTTTTTTTAATAAATATTTTCCTGTATTCTTAAAAAAATATTTAAAGCAATAATTTAAGTAACTAATTTTTTTAGGACATTTAGAGAGAGATATTTCATCATATTCTTCAATGTTACATGTAAGATTGTTTTAGACAGAAAAAAGGGCATATTTGTCATTAGGCGGTTATAAAAAGTTACTTCCCATCTTTTTCCAACTGTCAAAACTCTAAATACCGGTGGGAGCTGGACAGTGATGATGGTGATGGTGCTTCTGGCAATGGTAGTTGGCAAGGGCACGCTTTTCTACTACCTCCCTTCAATGTTAGTTATTAACTGCGAAAATTTAGACTTATAATTTTTATAAGTCAAAGTTTTCGAAATAAACATCTAACATCAGATAAAAATAACATATAATTATATAAAAATCTAATATGAAACCAAGATAATATTATTTATGTGAAAAAGAAAGAATGGTTTCAATTTTTCTTTCTTCTTGGGCCCGGTCCTCATTTGATTGGCTCTTGGGCCTGTCCTTCTTCAAGCCCAATATAATTATATACGCTTTATAAAATTATAATACAAAACAAATGCTTAACTTTCCAAAAAAAAAAATTCTTTTTAAAATTAATGATGTTGAAATGCTCTAAGCCAGATGGGAAAAAATACATAATAAGATTTTTCTACTCACATGTGAGTAGGTTATTCATACTGATTGCTGATGTAGTCCAATCACAAATGAATAATTAATATGTAATTATAAAATTTGAAAAATAATAAATAAAGAAATTAAAAAATGTGACTGAATTTATTTTTAAAAAAATTATTGTTCTTATTTATTACTTTTCTGATTTTATAATTACAAATTATTTAAACATTTATGATTGGATCACATCACGATTAATATGATGACCTATTTTTAATTTTAATTTCTTGTAATTCAAAACAAACGGACATGCAATCCAAATTGACTCAGGATAAGTCCATTTGTTGTAATTTGTTACACCCACTGCATACATTCTAACAAAATATAAAGTTCTGACCAGAAAAACTAGTTGACCAGTAGGTGCTCCAGAAATTACTCCAAATTAAAAGGGATGTACTTATTAAAAAAATCCTGTAAACCCATTTAATGGAATCATATATACCTCAAATATAAATATTTTTGTGTATATTAATTAGTCACACAAATGACCACGTGTGAAGAGGCATTTTAGGTCAGTCCCATTTTTGAGTCCTAGTGAAGCAAAAATATTCAGTAAAGTACTAAATTATCTTGAAAAAAGAAAAAAGAAAAAGGAAAAATCAATAATGTAAAATTTCACATTAGTCTTCATAAATGCTGCACCTCTAAGAGTGTCGAGAGAGTTGTAGTAGTTGTCCCAATGCACCCGTGTTAAAGCTTCAGATTTTGTTCATGGTGTTAGTTGGGTACTAGAGTCCTAAATTCCTAATCTCCATTGAATGGTAGATGGAGGTGGAAAAATTGGTGCACTTATATATATATATATATATGTATGAACCATTATTTGTCTCCCGCTATTCAGAGCCATATAGTGTAACAGTTAATTTCATCTTCTTCCATCATTTATGGATCCACCTCCACCACCAGAAGCACCGCTGCTGCAGCCGCCGCCGGCGGCTCCGCCTGCTGGAGGGTTCTTGGAATCATGGTAATTTTGTTTTTCTTTTATAAATTGAATCTTAAATATGAGATAAATAAATGAGAGGTGGGATTTCACATTGTCATTAATTTGGTCTTCTTCCAATTCCTCCAATTAATTTTGCAGCTTGTGGTTTCTGTGCTGCTGTGGTCTACTTACATGTTGCTGCCCTCCACTGTTTGAGCCAGGACCTCCTCCCCCCTAGAGATGCATTGCTTAATTCACATCTTATATGAACATGTTTGTGTATGTATGACATAGACACACCATTGTTGTTTGACTCTTTTTTTGGTTTTTTTATTAAATTGTCTTGAATTAATGTTGACATATTTGAATGTATTCTAGAGGAACATTTCTAGTTTAATTTGTACTTCTAAGGTTTGGAACTTTGTCTGATAGGTTTTGTCTCTTGCATAAAAGATCATTCAAATGGGGAAAAAAAATGATCTTGAATTTTTTTTTTGGAAAGGTATTTTTAAGTTCTTGCAAAGATATGTTTTGTCCTTCCAAGTTTTTTATTTTTTTATTTTATTTTATCAAAATAAAAACATAAAGATTAAGGAGATAAAATTCTAGATCAACATCTACAAGATGGACTTTACAAGACACAACATGTAACTGATTTTATTTTATTTTTTAGAACAAGAAATGGGAAATTCTTTCCAACTATCAGCCCAGGCTTGGTTGCTGGGTAAACCGCAAATGGGCAGTCACCCACAAACTATAAACCACGCGTCATTTAAACACGGGTGTTTTTGCGTCATGTAACCGGAAGAAATTGTAGATATGTTGGGTCTTGTTTGACAACCAATGTGATCTGTCTCAGATTAAAATATGGATCAGCTAATACACAGCATTAGGTTTTGTATTGGTTATCAACCTGCTTGAGCCAGATTGTAATCCAGACCAAACAATCCTATGTGGTTTGGTCTTCTGCTAATCCTAAAGTCAGTGTCTTTGAATTTACCCAGTTGCTCTGTTTTCTAGTTTGCTTGTTACTGTTTGTGGTGTTAAAAAATAAATAAATAAATAAAGTCTACTGTTCAAAGAAAATATTAGCGCCTAATTAGCTTGGTTTCGACATTCTAGCAGTCGAACACACTCATATACGCACAAAAACAAACAAGCAAAACAAAAAAACACCATAAAATACAGTATATCTGCAGTTGAATGAGTAGCCAGAAAAAGCTAAAATGTGAAATAAATCTCTAAATTAGGTCAAAATTAGATCAGTTTTCCAGTCTGAACATGCCCCCAACAGAATTCTCCTGATTTTAATGGTCTCCTGAAATTTATTTTTAGAAATTTCATGTAGGAAGAATTTTAGATATTCAGTTCTCTAAGCTATCAATAGGGAACAAGTTACCTCCCTCTTGGCGAGGTTGGATTGATCAGTGTACCAGGGCAAAGTAAGGCAAAAACTCCATTCACCAAGCCTCACCAATATCCCTTTTATTCACCCCAAAAACAGTCTGACAATTATTTTCAGTTATCCACTGATCAGGTGCTAGCCTATGCTACAAATCACACTAAAACAAGTTACAAGGTAGATAATTGGCCATTTCTTTGTTTGCACTGTCAAAAGACTCAATTCAAAAGTAAATAGGCTGGAGATTCAAACGATGAAGCAGCCATCAGAACTTCATTGGATACAATGAGCAAAATTCTGGCCAAACCAATTACAAAATTAAAAAAACAAAAAAACACAAGAATGTATGATATACGGGAACTTGGTTTTAAGGAAACGAAACTCAATAGCTAATTCTGTGATCTGCACTAATGAAAAAAAAAAAAAAAAAAAAAAAAAAAACTATCACCCTATTCCTGCGAAGCAGAAGCAGTTTCCTTCAAGCATGACCTCATGATCTTCCCGAGCTTGGAGCAAGCATCAAGGCATAGCTCCATTGCCTGTTCATAGAAGACGTCAGATTTCTCAGCCCCATGAAAACTCATCTGTCCTATTATGTGTGTGTCAAGGGTTACTGGAACTTTTTTTGGTCCCAATCTCGATCTAGAAAATGTATATATGCATGCAAATAAATTTATAATTAGATAGATGTCAACCAGTACTCGTGCAGAACTCCTCAAGCACATACTAAAATCTCACCAGCATATCACCTAGGTAACTTCAAATCAATAATTGACTACAAACTAAAGGAGAAAGCTACTAACAAACTATGGACAAAAACATGCAAATAATGACGCCCAGTTCCTGATGCAGAGAATTGGCCATTAGATATGATGCCCATTCTGTCCTCTTATGCGGGGAAAAAAATATCCAAAAGCGAAGGACAGATAAAGCAACGTATAAAATAAGGAATACTATCCCGGTGAATTGCCATACCTCATGAATCTTTGGGGTTGACCATTCTCCTGCTATAGTCAGCTGGGTAACCTCATTACGCGAAGGCATACAAGTAATCATTAGGCTTCCGTCTTGGTTGCCTTCTTCTTCTGAGATAGGATCAATGAGAAGATTCTTCCCGAGGCAAGACTAGACATTCGAAAATGGAAGCATATGAAGAGTGAGAAATCAGCAATAGCCCCACATAAGAACAAAAACTTTTAGGTCGGTCATTAAAGAACGAGAATTCTTTTGGTATCTTATTAGTAATCCATGTAGACTATGAATGGCTCATCCAACTGCTGGCTTAGTGACTTAGTGAGTATGCATCTTTCTGGTTAAAGATCGGTGTTGACACAACTCTTCTAATAGTCAATCTCGAACAAATGATTTAGATATCTGTGATATTGAGGGACACTAAAAGAATAACTGCCTTGGCAGAAAAGGAATGAAATCCTCTCCATTTAGTTGACTGGGAAAAAAAAAAAAAAAAAAACAGATTCCTAAAACATTAGCATGTATATCGAGTGGAAGAATTATGGCAAAGAGTAGTCAGATGCAGGGGCACAAACTAAAAGCGAGAAAACATGAAATAGAGTTCCCAATAATTCTAGCAAGTGATAATGCAGGGAAGTCTGGCCACGCTAGGTTGGTCATGTACACAAAGCTATGATGATGCACAAGCATACAGGCAAAAGAGAAATTTCTCTGAAAATCAACGTTGTAATTGAACAATCTGATAGATTTTAGAATGAAAACCTTGTATAAATGTTTTCCCTTCCCTTCACCATTTAATTTTGAGCCAGAGCTACTTCAATTTTTAATAAAAGAAACTGTCAAATATATAGCCAAGTAAAGATTATTATATGTACATGAAGCTTATTTCATACTTATAGATTCAAAACAAAATGAGGAAAGAAATATTAATGTGTGTGCATGCATACCACAGAAACTGAGGCAACCAAGTCATACATCAAAATCCCTGCATCTGCCAGAGCAAGACTAGCACAGGATATCACCACGGGAAGATCACCTGGAACCAAAGTATAGAAAGCTCGTCAATATACTAAAACATTAATGCCAGACAATGATGTTTTGCAGGGATCTCAAGATGGCCAATTCGGTTGCCAATACACTTGCCACAACTTGAAATCTGTAGTCTGTACTCAGCTCAGCTGAATAGTTCAACAAGATGACTTCAAGTAGTACACTCGGTTCAGCTCATCAATTTTGCAAAGCTATGCATAAAAGATCATGAACTAATTTGACTACATTTAATATATTGACGCATTAAAAACATTGAACTTACTGCCACCAGATTCCAACACCAATGCAAAAACATCAACAGTTGTCTTAGGGAAACTATCCAGTATTATCGCACCCTCCAAAGCTTTATGTAGCATTGAAGAGAACTCTTTGTTGTCCGATACCTAACACATGAAGGACTTTGAACATTAAAATAAGAGAAACCGAAAATAGCACAAAAAGGAGAAATGGAGTATGAACAAAGCATTACATGATACCGATTGTCCATACCTGTCCACGAACGGGGGTGGCAAAAGTTGTATAACTGACATCACAATTTAGCCGCCCTAGATCACTGTACATCATTGCTTTCTTACTTTCCCTTGGCCCAAATCTAAAAGAAAAAACCACATATATTACATGTGCCCAAGTCCATATACCATAAAGGTAAGTACCAAATTGAAAATTCAATTTGTAACTTATTAACATAAATAATTTTATAATTAATTTCTGCATCTCAACCTATAAGAATTATAAGGTTGTCCAAAATAACATGCATACAAACATGAATCATGTCTAAAAATAAGCAGCGGCTGATACTTCCTGAGGAGAATCTTAGAAGCACAATTGGAAGCGGGGACGCAACTATCCTCGGAGCAAAAAGACTAATGAATGGTAGTGCAACTAAGATGCAGCTAAGAACTCTTTTAAAAATACATCCAGTATCAAAGTTATTACTGGAATATTATAATCAATCACCGAAAGAAGACTACTTGGATAACAGCCCTTCTTATTCAAATTGGAAAAGTTGAACAGTAAGGCACTTATATTCCAAAAACTTTGATTGCCAACTTCATAGTTAAAATGTTCTTCATTTCTTCTCATAAAATAACTATTTTATAAGTAACACTATTTGAATTAGTTGATAAATCTCAGGCTAGTTTGAGTTTACGTCACAATATACATGCAAGTCTACAAAAAAGGAAAAAGAATCACGTGTCTTAAAAGATTCAAAGTTAAAAAATGCATAATCAAGAAAACAAAGAGGGAGCATCAACTAGTATGGAAGGAAGGTTCCCACAACTAAAACGATTGAACAAAAACTATGACCGACAGAAAACAGGAGAAGTATCAGAAGCTGAACATGGAAAATCTATGAGACATGCACTCTCTATATGCAGGAATATGTAAATAAGTAAATAAAAATTATGAGAAAAATCTTTACATCAAATAAAGGATATACTCACACAGAGACAATGACCTTGGTATTTCCAAACTCTGCATATGCAGAACCTGAAGCGGCATTCGCAGCACCAGTCCTCAGAACTGCAAATCTCCAACCAGTGTTCTTAGAAGCTAATTGTAGGTTAAACTATACAATGCTATTACATCCAGCACATAAGATGGAAACGAATACAAGAACAAACAGAAAAATCTAAGAAACAAACATGTAAATATAGAAATAACTGAGAATAGAAGACAAAAAGTAAATATATAGACAGTTACAAATTTGACAGAAGATTCTAGAATGAGCACTTGAGAGTACGTAAACATCAATAGTTTGTCCATAAAAAAATGCTAAATGACGGATAAGAAATGAGCATTTGAAAATATAAGCATCAGAGGACTTTAACTGTTGCACAGGCTTAAACAACAGAACTTAAAATGGCAAATAAAAGATTACGGAAATACACAAGTCATCAACCCCCCAAGGGAGGGAAAATTAGGATATAGCAGCAATTACATGGCATGACATTTAACAACTACCAAACATCACAACTGCTGTAATCCACACCATGATTGCTCCAATTCAAATTAGTTTCTCTCAAGTGAACGGATATCAGAAAGTAGAAGGTCTAACATGGTGTCCAATGCTAGATCTCTGGTGCTCCTGTAAGTGAGTCCATTAGATAATAACAATCCTCAACACCAATGCTAGATCTCTGGTGTCCAATGCTCGCGCAATTATGGTTTGGAATTGATCGCAGGATCATGAATCATATATAGCAAACACATTACACAAGAAATAGCTGAAATTGATAAAATCTCTGAAATAAAACAAAATCAAAACACGTTAGATATTTTGAATTGGTTTTTACTAATCAAAATAAAAAACATGTTATATATTTTTAAGTTCACCACTTCGTTTTATAAGAAAACCACGAGACATTAACCAAGAAAGCAAAGTCAATCCACTGTTTAGAACTATATGAACAACTTTTACTTCATTTTTCCAACCCACGGTCAAGCTGGAGATAAAAATTTGGCACATGCTTGTATATCTGAAGTTAAATTGTAGAGTAACACTACCAAATTTCAGACAAACTGGCCTTTCACACACATGAGAGAACTAGATATCAATTGCTCGTGTTCTTGAAAATGTGCATAAACATGTTCAGACCCACATAAAACACAAAAGAGATAAAGCAAAAATTAAACATAAATAAAATGAAAACAAGATCTCGACCCCACAAGGCAACATGTACAAGAAGACAAAAGAAGACGAAATATATTCACTTATATGAATAAAATAGCATGGGAGCCATCAAATAAAAAATAAAGATAAAAAATCGAGAGAGAGGGGTTTGGGGGGAAGGAAAACAATGGGAAGAAGTTTTCTATTTAAGACAAACTGACACTTGAGATCAAGATACTTGAACAATTAATCAATTATAAGCTCGGAGGCCATGCAACTAACAAATAGGGTATAGAAAGAGCAAACATGTCTAGACATCCTAAATGGCAAAAACACAGGGGAAGGACTGAGCTAAGCAAAAAAAGTGCAATGAGGATGTACAAAACTCAATATGCTATGGAAGCACAGAATAAGCAAGTATATGAAATATAACTTGTTAAATCATGTGTCTATATTATGTCTTAACACTGACATCTCCTTTATGCATTGTCTGTTTGATAACTTAATATAAAGCACAAACGTGCATGTGCAAGTAGTGAGAACAATAGGATCCAACAAAAGAAAGAAAAAAAAAAAAAAAAAAAAGCCTAATTATACAGTAGGATTCATCATTGTTTATCCGTCTTCACCTCTTTGTGCACCAAGTAACAGAGCACCTTACATACATAACCTCTTATATAAATCATAATAAAGCTTAAACTAAATCAACTTGAAAAATCTAAAATCTTTGCACAACATGCTTATTTTAGGACAATAGACACTTGAGCTCAAGATACTTGAACAACTAATCAATTATAAGCTCGGAGGCCATGCAACTAACAAGTAGGTTATAGAAAGAGCAAAGACGTATATCCATCCCAAATGGAAAAAATACAGGGGAAGGAATGAGGTAAGCAAATAAAGTGCAATGAGGAATACAAATTTCAATATGCTATGGAAGCACAGAATAAATACGTCTATGAGACAACTTAATATAGGAATGATACTAGACATAACTTTATATTATGTCTTAACGCTGACATCTCCTTTATGCATTGTCTGTTTGATAACTTACCGTAAAACATAAACTGCATGTGCAAGAAGTAATGGGAACAATAGTATCTCACAAAAGAAAGAGAAGGAAAAAAAAAAGGCTAATTATATGGTAGGATTCCTCGTTGTTTATCTGTCTTCACCTCTTTGTGCACCAAGTAACAGAACACCACATATACATAACCTCTCACAATAGAGCTTAAACCGCATCAACTTGAAAAATCTAAAATCTTTGCACAACATGCTTATTTTGGAGGCTTCTGATGTTGGTTTATACAATTCAGCCCTGACAAAAGCCATGTTCCCACAGCTTAGGAACTGGTAGACACTTGTCAATTCTTATAGTACTGAATTTAGGACAGCTTGGCGAGTCATATCTCAACCACCTCAAACTGAATACACGTATTGTCATTCACCTTTCTGCTCTATCTAGGATCATAACCCTTATCAGTCACTAAGAGGTAATCAAATCAAGAAGTTAAGGGCCTGTTTGGTTCAGTTTTCTGAGAACATTTTTTTATATTTGTAAAGTACTAAAAATCAGAAAACAGTACAAAATTTTGTTTGGTTGACAGTTTTTTATAGGATTGTGAAATAAATGTTCTTAGAGGCAAAAAGGGGCATGTTCTGATTATCAATTTGCAAAAAGTCATCCACATAACATTGTGCATCATCACGTAGCCCTACTGAGACCCTAAAGAACACACCTATACTGGGATTATTTCCTCCTATGATAAAATCAACTAATCTTAAAAAATAAGACACCCGTACAACAAAGCACATAATTACAACTCCTAATCTACAAATGTATGCCCATATCAGTATATATATGCAAACATAGCTGTAACATCTGTACATACATATGCTTATATAGATGCCACTTTTTGGTTTCTAACTAATAGTCTAGAAACTGCACAGCTAGTCTGCTACAGATTAAGAAAATTGCAACAAAGGAGGAACAAATAACCAAAGATAGGTACATATGTGAGCCATGTCATTGCTTTTTGTTAACTTGGGAGTTTCATGAAATAGCAAAAGAGATCAAATATAATGTACTTAGGCTAGTGATTCCATTGGATTGCTTATGTGACTTTTACAGTAATATCAAGCGCAAAGAAAATTGAAAGAAATACAGTTTTGCCCACAAACAATTCAACAATCAAACAAGTAAACATCAGGGAACATCACATACCAATAGTCATGGAAATAGAAAAAAGCTAAAAACAATGATCCCACATAAACCTACCCAAAAAATAATAATTCTCTCCGCAGTCAAATAAACTCATGCATGTACTTCTATGGCCTAGATTCAACACGAACTACACCTAACAAAGATTGATTAACTTGAAGCAGAGTTCTGTGCAACCGATATATCAATGGAAAATATATATATATATATATATATATATATATATATATATATATATATTCAATCCCCATACAAGAAAATAACAATTATAAATAAATAAATTATAAATTAATCAATCTAATGCCACATCAATGAGTATAGAAAAACTGATAAGAGGGTAAAACACAGTGAACAGATTATTACACGCGACAAAATTAACGCAAGTAGTTATATTTCTAAGAACATAAACATTGATATATGTATATATGTATATATATCAGAAGAGTAAGAGAGAGTATACAGGCAGGCCTGCACTCGTGAAAGCCACGACCGTCGGGACGAACCCAATCGACGTCTCTGAAAATGGGCGTTTTCTTCTTATACTGCGTTGTCGGCGACGGTGAGTACGTGATTGGAGTCGTTCCAGCTTTTCCGGCCATCTCTCTCTGGCGCACTTCACCCCCGACCCTCTCTCTCTACACCCTTCGCTTGCCAGGTTTAAATTAGGGGACGCTCGCTATTCCGTGACACCTGCTAAAATGCACCGGGAGCACAAGACATCAATCAACGAAAGGAACCGGTTCGGGTCATTCGGGTTAAAGCCAAATCCCGATCGCATGAAAGTTTATAACAGCGGGGCTAAAGCCTTCCACCAATGACCCAAACCAACTTCGAGTGCCCAACTGACCGATCTAAGGCTGAGAAATTAATTAAGTTGAAAATTTTACATGGGCCTCAAGGGCCCAAAAAACAATAAATTGGGCCTTTTGGTCTAAAATTAATTGGGCTCTCGGCCCGCATACGGAACAATATAATTTAGGGTTAATTTGACTAACACTCTTCAAGTTTGGTCAAATATCACATTAAAATATCTTTCAAAAATAACTATCACTCGTTACAGACGTTTGTTCCGTTTTTTACTTACACCCCAAAAGTTATTTTTCAGTGTTAGATACCTTTTGTACGTAAAATGACATTGTTACCCTTCTAACTATTTATGGACTTTAAAAAGTGTTGAAATGACTTGAATACCCTTTGACCTTTATTATATAAATTTATAATAATTCTTTATATATATATATATGTATATATATATATATAATTCTCATTATGTACACTAACCGAATTATAGTTATTTTTTAAAATTATTCTTTATATATATGTGTGTGTATATGTATTTCTCATCATCTACACCATCAGCTTTCTCCACCTTTTCTTCTTTATGTGCATCCATATTTCTTTTTCTATTTCTTTTCTTTTTTCTTTATTTTCTAATTTCCTTTTCTCCTTCTTCGTTACTGCCGGCAAAGAATTTTTCTGTTTTTTTTTTCATTTTTTATTTTATTTTATTTTCTTTTCTTCTTCATTGCTGTCGGCAAAGAAGAGAGGGAGAGACCATTAATGGTGAAGAGAGGAGCAATTAATAATTCTGCAATTAATAATTCTAGCCATCCTTGTTGACTTGTCAAGATAATTTGTATACACGAAATTATATATAATATATAGGAGCCTCACACTGACACGCCAATGAGCTTCATTTAACTAATTTGTTCAATTTTGTGTTTAAGCTGTAAAATGATATTTGGGTGCAATTGGCCGGTAACGGAGCATTATATGATTGATTATAAACATATCATTTGCAAAGTAATCTGCTTTTTTTTTTGAAAAGCAGTAATCTGCATATCTTGCTTTGCAGCTTTCCTCTTTCTCGCTGCCCTTTCTCCTTATACCAGGTTGCCGGCGGCGACCTGGTCTGATCTCCATGGACGGCGACCCGGTGGTCTTCGACCTTTATCAACCGTATGGGTTGCCATAATGGCGACCCATAGTAAGATTACGAGAGTAAGGGCATTTTAGTCCTTTTAATTTTTTGATATTTTATAATTTTAAAAGTTATTAAAAAAATTAAAGGTAAAATTGTCTTTTCAAATATGACAAAAAAGTCATTTGAAATCTGAATGAAAGTAATTTTAGAAAGATATTTTCATGTAATATTTGGTCAAATCTTAAGAATGTCAACCAAATTAACACTATAATTTATATAAAGTTTCATGCATGGTAGGACTTTTCACAGAGAGAGAGAGAGAGAGTTGACAAGGGAGGTGGATAGGGCGAGGCATATTAACCACTACAAAGGAAACAGTCCTAATAAAAGGGAACAACCAAAGACACTAGTAGTACAAGGAGTCCTCACTCTGGTGTCCACCAAGCTCAATCAACATTTCTATTGCTTTCTTCTACTTTGTGGATAAAAAAACTTCTTATTTTCAATAAATTTCTTATAATTTTAGTCTCCAAGTATATATAATATATAAAAAGTAATTTAAAATTAATATGCATTTAGAGCAATGACATTTGGAATTAATAAAAAATTAATTTCTTTCAACTCTTAAAATTTTTTATTCAAAAACCAAAGTGCCTTTTATCAGTCTAGAAACTACTCTTTTTGTTATGGTTCTATGGAACAAACTCATTAGAGTTGGACCCACATTGACCATTTGCCTGGCATGTTTAGTTTCAAGCCCATTTTTTGCCCCAAAAAAAAAACAAAAAGCACAAGAGAGGGGTAAAGTTTAAACATTAAAGTTGTAGCTACCATGACTTTCAATGAATATTCAAAGGGGGATTTGAAACTTAAACAAAGTAAAGAAAACAATAATTATGAAAATTTAGCAAAGATTTTACCGTTCTTTCAGTTAATTATCATAAAAGAGTGGTAATTAATTGATGGTAGTTATTATCCAATTAAATTAGTGGGAATAACATTAGAACGATTTCATATGTTTTATCGTAATTAATTTATATGTACTGTAGAAATGATTTCATAATAGAAGTCAAGACAAAAATGATTTTGAAAAGATAATTTTATTTGATAATTTACACGTAAACAATTGGATAACATAAATGAACTTTAAAAAAACGTATTAATGATTGAGACGTGGGAACTTCCATCTTACCCTTCTAATGTAAGTGGATGTAATAAATGTTATTTATGGAGTTGTACCTTTATTGTAATACTTATATTCTAATTAAATTACTCGAAATAATATCAAAATGATTTCATATGTATTGTCGTAATTAATTTATATGTAATGTAGGAATTATTTCGTAACAGAAGCCAAAAAAAAAAAATACCGTTCAGATAAAAATTTATTTTATAATGTACACGTGTACACCTGGACAACATAAATGAACTTTAAAAAAACGTTTAAATAATCCAGACGTGGGAACTTCCACCTTACCCTTCTAACCGTTGTTATATTAAAACGTTTTGACTATTTAACTGCCCTAGGCAAAGTATAAACGGTTAATTCATGTGTCTATTTATATCGCCATATCTAGTCGGTGCATGTATTCGAGAGCCATGGATTCTGTTCTATAGACTGCGATTGAAGATGTGGTTAGACGAGTTGAGGCTATAGCTTTTACAAATAGTGCGGGCAAGCATGCATGGTGAGTTATGTTTATACTTTACAATTTACATGCATTATCGGGTTATGGGTCTTCATTACTGAAGTAAGGAATATGGGTGTTGTTCGTATTTAAAATGTAGGGAAACGACAGAACTGGGCACTGGATCATGGACGACAGGTCTACGGCGATACGCTGCAACAATTGATTTACTTGCACGTAATGGACCATATGAAAGTATCCCAGAAAGACGTATGTACCTGAAACAATGTTTTCAATCTAGGGATCATGTTGCAAAGTTCATTAGGGGAGTGGTATGTTTAGTAAGATCATGTGTACTCTTTTACGCATTACACTTTATTTATTTGTAAGGTCTAACATGCAAAAAAAATTGCATAGGTTGATTTGATTGTTTACAATGAAAAAATAGGGTTGGCTTTCCTCTGTAAAAATGGTTACCCGTCCCTCTATCCTATGTGTATTGCATTATTGTTTTCCAGTGAAGCGGACAAAGAGGCGGGGATTAATTTGTTAACGTTGTTGAGGATAAATTCAATACTGAGCCCTTCAATCAAGTCTACCCGTTGAAAGATGTTAACAATTATTCAAAGGAGTTTTGTTTGCAATCGATCATTCTTTACGGATGTTCCAAAATGTTGTCCAAAAGGCAACCATATTGATTGGCATTGTTGGATCATAAACGAGGATGTCATCAATTATAATCGTAATTGGTATGATCTAAATATCATGGTTTTGCAAGGTCGTCTTTCACAACATCACATAGAAGGATTATTTGGGTAGTTCTGCATTTTTATTGGGTTTGTGTGTGGACTTTCGGCGCATCACAATGGACTTTATTCATTAATATTTGTAATTCTTATTTAATTTGTGTATGGATATTTGCGTAGTTTTTATTATTATTTTTTTTATAATTATATTTGGGTAGTATTGTTTTCATTCTATAAATTTTAATTTTTTACTTATGTGAATTGTTCACATCCTTCCTTTTTTTCAGCGGTCCCATTACCCCTTAAGATATGAATTCACACTAACCTTTTATAAATATATTCTATATATATATATATATATATATATATATATACACACACACATACATACATATATGCTTTAAATGTAAATTTTTCCTTGTAGAGGATCCATTCCCACATCACATAACATATGTCACAACTTTATTTATGTTTTAAACATGTGTCACAATTACATAACATAACATGTGTCAAAAGCAGGTAACTAATGGATAACCTATTTCCTCTGTTTCAAAGAAAACAATTAGCGTTCTACAGGGATATTTCAATTGAAACATCGTCGCCATATCTGAATCACTGCAGAGCACCATTTTGTCGAGTGTGTCAGGGATAGAAGCATATACGTTCATGGCAAAAGGATGTGGAATAGCACGAATGAATGACAGTCCACACAAATCTTCTTAAAATTTCAGGTAACCATAATTTTCTGGGTTCACATTTCTGATTTCACCAGTATGCCGACCATAGTGAACAATAATGGAAACCATGCCGTGAATGCCGTCTGAAAAGAAAGTGCACAAAACTGACTAGTTCAGTGCTCAGACTGACAAGTATAAATTATATATATACAGTTAAGATAAAAAAAAAAAAAAAAAAGAGTATAGTTAAGATAGAAAAACTCACCAACTTCTCGGGTTGCAATTTTATGCCTTGGAATATTTCTCGGGTTGCAAGAAACTGCCTTAGATATATTCAGTAATTTGAATAGTAATTAGTAGTTGGCCACTATTAACTTCTCATTTATACCCAACAACTTCATTAAGTATACTTGTTTTACACAAATATCTTAGTTATTAATGCAATGCAGCTACATCTCTTTTTGGCCGAACAAGTAATTAAATGCAGCATTTCTACTCTTTTTGACGAACAAGTAATTGGTTGTAGGTGCATATCTCCTTCTGCCACACAAACCTCTCTGATGCATCTCTAAATGCATTTATGTATGGTCAGATATGGTAGTTACATTTTCACCCTATAAAACCTAACTATCCACACTTTGTCTAACCACAGGCACAACCAAGATGGAAAGGAAACCTAACCCATCTCCTCTACCACCAGTGCC